TGGAACTCTATCGTTTTAATTGCATGTATCCCTAGGCTCACTACTTGGGGCTTTGAATGTATTGTAGCCCGGGGTATGTCAAGTGTCATGAAGGGCCTTTACAGACCCGGCTGACCTACAAGATTGGGAATGTCTCCTGGTTCTCCTCCTGCCCTTCCCCTCTGTGTTCCTTTACCCTGCCTGACCATCCACTTGAGCTTATCCCTGTCTAGACTCCTGTAGAAGACTGACTGTTATCAGGGAGCTAGGATTAAAGAGCCATCTATAGTTCATTCCCCTGTCCACTGTGACCCAGGACAGACCCCATCACTCACCAAGGCCTTTGATAATGACATCTTTAAAATGGTTAAGGTGTAATTCCCATGAGAGAGGAATGCACATGCCTGCCTTTGATGTTCTCGTCCCCGTGGCTGAGCGGCCACCATGCCTGGTTCACACCGCTGCTAGCTACTGTCTCCTTCACACTTTCTCTTCTCCCATTTTCATCCATCTAGGGACAAACCCAAGGCGATAAAATGAAAACTTTGCTTCCCATGTGTTGTGTATTATGCATAGGGGGCTGCATTTTGAAAGGAATCTCTCATTTGCATCCAGCAAGCCTCTGTGGTTCTTTGTGGGTTTAGATGATAAGAGTGGGTTTGAGAAGTGTATCAGTACCAGTTTGGGAGTTTGAGATGGGTTTACCTTGTCAAACTGTGCCCTAACTCATGGAGGCCTCTGACCTAAGAACCTGCACTGCTCATGAGAGTTTATCTTCATTTGGAGATTTCTCCCTCTGTCTCAAAGTCGTGATTGCCACCCAGGGTCCTGGAAACAGATTCACGTGCTGGGTGAAGAGCCTGGGTGTGGAGCAGTTTTAAGGGCTCACCCTCACTCAGTTCCTGCTGGAAGACAGTAGACTGCTACCTTCTCAGAGGAAGAATGACCTGGAAGGGCCTTGGGAACTTGCCGTGTGGGGGTGGGTTTAGGAGGAGAAGCCTTGGCTGACCTTGGGAGGAACACAGAACAGTTGCTGAGGGCAGACTTGGATCTAGGGACTCTGAAATTCCCTTTATGGAAAGGTCTGTTATATTTTGACTAACAAAGTGTTTGCTCGATTCTTAGTTACAGTAGGAGCTTTGCAGTGTGAGGGATAATACAATGATAATTGCTCACATTCACTGAGAACTTAGTGTTCAAGCAGAGTACAGTGCTTCACATGTGTACTCCCAAATCCTCACCAGAACCCTAGAAAATGACATTATTTTCCTTATTACACAAAGTGCCCTGGGCTCCAGAGAGGTAAAGTCCCTTGTCCAAATCCAGGTATTGTTAAGCCTCTCTCAAGGAACTGTGTTCACTCAGAGACAGGCTGAGGACTCTCTATGCCTAGAGCCTCACTGGTACCAATTCCTGAACCTCCCACTCTGCCCCACCCACCCCCACGAGTCAACAGGACTATCTTAGAAAGCCAGGCTTCCTCTTTCTGTTCTGAATGCTGCTGCTTTGGCAAAAAGCATCAACAAGATTTCATCCATCTCGTTTACCCATCCTGATCTATTCTTAAGGGTCAGAGTGTTTATCTAATTGGCCAGATGGGAATTTATTTGAAATAACCACCTGTGCCTTCATCTACACCATCAAAGGATAGTGGATCTCCACAAAAGATCGAAGTCTGTTTTTGTGATTTGAGTCCAGGTCACAAGAGACTTGACTTTGGAAAAGGCGTTGTCCTTCTTATGTGTTCCTTCTCTCTTCTTGGGACTGTGGTGCTTATCCTGAGCAGCAGGGAACCTGCAGAGTACAGAATGCACAGGAGTTAAGGACTGCTCTCTGGCTGACCCAATGACTTTCGGAAAGGGGTCTGTGGAAGACTCTGGCTTCACCTGGATATGTCTTCCTTGCCTCAGATGGAGATGTAAATGGACATCCTTTATATCAAAAACTACAGGAGAAAGCTAACATGCCAAACACATCCGTCCATTCGGCTTGAGGGCCAGATTTTACCATTTTTTTCTTTATCCTAATTTGAATTAGCAATCAGTCCACTCATTCTTGTTCTTGGCATCTTTAAAGGTTCATTTTATATTTTTTTCTCCTTCCCCTCCCTTACTGCCTTCTCTCAATTTTCAATTTCACAAACTTAAAATCTTTAGTTTCTCTAATCATTACTATACCCCAGTGAAGGGAAAGGCTAGACTTTTACCACATTTTACAAGCCCTTGCTACCTGACATCATAAATCAATTCCCTTGATAAACTGCATTAACACTTTTGGGCCATAAGGGGCAGGTCTAATGCACTGATTTATAAGCAGAGGCTGGAAGTTAATGGATTGCTAAAGTTACCTACCGCAGAGAACTGACCTGCAGTTTAAACATCACAACGGTTAGGTTCGGTATCAGAGAAGAGTGTCCTGCCCCTGGTAACAAGATGTTACTATTTTTGGTACAGTACCTGGGGATGGAGGATCAATGTGGTGCCAAGAGACATCGATTTGCTTGCACCTATAACTGCCTTACTCTTATTGCTTAGAGGAAAACACTCTTTGTGTAGCTCCCTGTTTAGAAAACAGGAACTTGAATCTGTCTTGAACATATGGTACTCCAAAAGGCTTTTAGAGGAAGTAACACAAATACAATAATAAAAGAATAAATAGGACTGAGATTACATGTGTTATGATATGTGCTAGGTTCCCCTCTCTGCTGTCATTCCCCTTTCTGAAGACAGACCAAGGCAGTAAAATAGGTATTGTTTATATCCACTCTGTGCTAATGGAAAAACAAAAATAAACAAGCCATGGAATTTATGAGAGGGTAAATCCTAACCTATGGAAGTGATCCATGGAACTCTCACAGTAGTAGTAGGAACACGACTGGATTCAAGCTGACCAGCAGGCCACCCAGACCACTCTGGCCTGCAAGAAACGGAAGTACTTAGGCCTTGGTGGCTAAGCAGTCCGCCATAACCAATCCCCCTGATGTCAGACTCCATTTGATTATAGACACTGAAGCAGTTACTTTTCTGTTGCTGTAATAAAATGCCATGGAGAAAGGTAACTTATGGAAGAAAGAGTTTATTTAGGCTTACAGTTCCAGAGGGAGGCTTCATAATGGTAGAAGAGACATGGCAGCAGGCAGCAGTACAAGAAGCTGATAGATCACATCTTCAATAGCAAAAACAACGAAGAAAGAACAAAGTGGAAATAGGGCAAGTCTGTAAACTCTGAAATCCCACCCCGAGTGACATACTTCCTCTAATAAGGCTGTACCATGTCACCACCAACTGGGAACCAAGTGTTCAAATATCTGAGCCTATAATATTTCAAACCACAAATACCTTCCAGATTATCCCAGAAAGCTCTGGAAATATCCTAATTCTCCATGATTATCATTATATGATAAAGATTGGACATTCTTAACTAGACTATGGATACTTAGATACCTCAGTGCCAGGAATAGAAAATAAGAACCTACAACTCATATATGCTTTGTTGAAGATAGCTCTAACATGTTGGCTTTGTTCATACCTTTGGGTTTTGATCCTATCACATGTGTATCTGTGAGACTTGCCCTTGAGTTCATAACAAGCATTGTTTTGTGTGTACAAAAATAATTGGTTTAACCTGTTGGGAATGACCAGTCGTTCCATTCTTTATTGCTTTTACATACCTTGATATCAGTCTTATTACCTTTCAAATTGTTAGTGTCAAATACTTTTCCTAGGCTTCCCTTTATAGTGTAGCCCTTGTATATGTGAATAAAATGAGTCAAATGGTTGTTGTGGGAAAATGCAGAGCCAGCTGAAGAGCTCTCAGGGAAAGTATAGCTTTGTGATCTGTTAGTTCAACTCTTCGTATTTATGCTCTGCATGATAAAAACAAATAATAAAAATAAATAAGAACAAATAAGAATAAACAGCACCTCTTATAACCCATGGATCAGGGGCCCTACTCTCTCCCGGCAAACCTCCAACACATCTAGCATTTGTTTTTGGACTTTGTTTAGATTACTCATCATTAAGTCAGAAAGGATTTATGTAATTACTATCTGATCTGAAGAGTGTCCAGTGATGTGCTCTCAGTAGTGTTGATTCTACATGGATCCACTCCTGCTCTTCTTGTGTGGGACATCAAGGAAGACTGCTCAGAGAGCAGTTGCCTCTTTGCTGATAATTGGTGCTTGTCCATGGCTCAACAAAGGCACGGCTTACAAACTTGTACTCCATTCATAACCTTGTGCTCCATCTCCATTCATAACCTTGTAGTTCATATCCATTCATTCACTCTATGATCTTCAGTACTGACATCGATTTAATGTTCCTCTGATGTACAAAACATAGACGTGTATTTTGTGGCTAGCCATAGAGCATATTTTCATTGTGCCATGCTGAATCACTCTTAAATTTCATCTAAGTCGTAGTTTTTAAAAAGACTATTTTTCTCATGATTAAAGCAATAGGGAGTACATTCATTTATGGTCAGAGTGCATCATATAGTTGTATGAAAAATGTCCTTATGAAACTCAATACTATGTATCATGGATACTGAAATGGAAAAAATGAAATGGGTTAAGAGAATGTTAAGAAATACTAACTATAATGAAGCAAAATCTAAATTATACATAATTTCCCCCTCCTGAGTTAAGTAAGTACAATAAATTTTTTGTCTTTTTCCCAGCAATGGTTCTCTTACATTTTACAACTTTGTGATTTAACAGAATTGTGATGTCACATGAACTGAGTGCTTCATTACGACAACATTGGTAATATATATGTATACTTCTAAAAGCTATGACAATGGCAGCTTTCAGATGCAGGAGGTGGCACACTGGAATAATTTGAATTAGAACTGGATGCCTAACAAATGCATCACTTTAAATGTCTCTATTGCACTGATCACACAGAGGTCATTTACCAAGGATGCTCTTGCTAGATGTCTAAAAGAGTGAGTTGGGAACACCTTGGTAACACGCTCTTCCCCTAGGTACTGTGACAATAACTCATATTTTCCCTCTTTTCCAGAGTGATCGTCTTCTAATTAAGGGCGGGAGAATCGTCAACGATGACCAGTCCTTCTATGCTGATATTTACATGGAGGATGGCTTAATAAAGTATGTCATGAAATCTCCTATTACTTCTCTACTTCCTCTCTGCCTAAGGAACTGTACCTTCATAAATAAAGTAAAAACACTGAATTTGCTCAAAAGAATCATTCTCCAGGCCTCTTTGTGCAAATTGTATTAGATTGAGTGATGTGACCCCCTCTCCTTATGGATACTGATAAGTGTTCATGAGCAATAGTATCCTAAAATGTCAAGGTGTGCGATAGATTCCAATGTGAAATCGTAATATACACAGACTTTTTTTTTAAACAGGTAAGGCTTTAGATTAAATACTTAAAAATGAACTTGAAAAAATGGTGGTAAGGCTTAGAAATACATTGGTTAAAATAGGACATGCATTTCAAGCATGTTTTCCAAATATATTCATCAGGAGTCTCCAATTTCTTTATAGGATGATTTGCTACTGAAAAAGCATAAGCAGATAATGTTCATGTATGTTTTTTAAATGGCAAAGTTCAAAACAGGATTTGATTAATATGGTATTGTATCATGAACAGCAACGTGCACCACCACATTAATAAGATGTTGTATATGCCTAGAAAACCCAGGTCATTCTGTTAACGGGAGTATATGCTATCAAAAAAGTATTTATGTAAGGTACTGGACACTGCTTTGTCACATTCTAAGGTAGGCATTCTGCATGCTCCAACCAACGTCCCCCAGTCCTTCGGGACCTTAGAATCTTTGAGAAAAACTCATGTATCTGAATATATAGTAAGGATCCAATATTTTCAAGTACTGAATAACAGGCTAGATGGAATTCAGAGTAAGCATTGTTAATTACAATGGCTTATGTTTATTGATCCCTAATGTGTTTAATAGTATTTTGTGGGCTTAGCAGAGATTAACTTTTAATCTATACAACTCTAATGAGGAGCTATTACATTTTACAGTCAAAAGAATTAGGTCATGGTAAGATTAAATAATAACTTGACTGTGTCTAGTAACTGACAGAGCCAAGACTGCGGATCCAGGTAATCACCATCTGAAGCACACCTACACAGGGTAGGCTTGGTGACCATAAGAGGAATGATTAAATGAGGAGATGGAAACTGAGATTTTAAAGATCACTGTGGTCTTAATAGGTGTGTTGGAGAAAAGTAGGTATTATGCTAGTTGTAAAAAAAAAACCAAGTGAAACAATGCATATAAATATATACACACACCACACAGGTCCATCCACTCTTCATCCTCTTGGTTCTCAGTTTTTCCTGGAGGAAGAACTAAGACAAAGAATATCAGAACTGGGCAGTGTCTGGACTAATGTAGAATTACAATCATAGGGTGCATTTTTTCCACAGTGTGTTTTAAATTGTGGTGGCCCTGGAATGGCCCCATGGTGATGTGGTGAAGTTGAACTCTTAGACGTGTCAGGAATACATTAGCTGTGAACCTAGAGTTTGCTGGTCAGTGATGGATTATTTTACTACCCCAAGAGAACCTTTTTGTCTGTGTATAGAAGGGAAAGTACTCATACCACAAATAGTGGCTTACAATGCACCCAAGGTAGGTTTGTCACCTTGGTGACAAACTTGACCAGATGCCTAGATCAAAGATATAAAGTCAAGCCATGCTGGAAGTTGTGATCTGCAAGCAGCATTGTGAAGGATAGGTGTACATTCCTTGTGAGATGCACCTTTGAAACATTCATTGAGCTGCTGCCTCTGCCTTGCTCTCCTCCCCCATTCCTTCTTGGAGTGCTCTAAAGCTTCTCCTGGGTCACACTGTATCTTCTCCAGAGTGTCATAATCGTCTTCCTTAGTTTGAAGTCTCTGTTGAGAGACTGACAGTGCAAAGGCAGTTGGTGTAGGTGAGATCTGCATGTCTGACTCTTTCCTTGTGAATCTGCGATGAGGCACCATTGACTCACCAGGGGAGGATGGAATAAGGAAAAGAAGCCTGAGGTGGGGAATGGCTGGGGCAGAGAGCTTTCTTTAGGCACAGAAAGCCTGCTTGGAAGACGACTAAGTTCCCATACCTGTTGCTGCACTGAATTTCCTCCTTCTGTTGCTCCTAACAGTCATGTGTTTTTCACACTCTTCACAGCTTTCCCCAGCATCATTCCACACCATTAAAAAAAGAGCAAAGTGAAAGAAATAATGAAAATAGTTATGCAAGATATCAGTCATGTGCTGTGCTCTAGAAAATGGCAGTCCATAGATTTCGGTACAAAAGGCCCATGCAGATAATTTAGTGTCAACAAAAGTAGTTTTACATACACAGCTGTCTACCTTTGTTTAAAGACTACTGGAATTGTGACTTTGAAGACCCCAGTGTCTAAAATCCTTGCATCTTACACTTGTCTTGAGTTTCACTTTTTAATTGCCAGTTGTTCCACTGTCTCCCCAGGCAAATTGGAGACAATCTGATTGTTCCTGGAGGTGTGAAGACCATTGAAGCCAATGGGAAGATGGTGATTCCTGGAGGCATTGACGTACACACACACTTCCAGATGCCTTACAAGGGAATGACCACGGTGGATGATTTCTTCCAAGGGACAAAGGCTGCCTTAGCGGGTGGCACCACTATGATCAGTAAGTCCCCAGACTAGACATATTCCAGCTTCCCAGACCTGTGTGTTTGCCAAATGCCTGGTCTCTGATAATACTGACACAGATACACATCTCTCAATTTGGTTTGTGAATTTACGTTCCTGGGGTGGTTACTCTTAGGAAAACTGCCAGCTCCCTGTAATTACACAAAGATGATCCATGAGCCTCATGACCATGAATGCAACCGAGAAAAAGATAAGTTACAAAGAGCAACCATTGAGACTGACAGTTCTTGGTGGATTAGTGGTCATTGGTGGACTTAGTGCTATTGGGTCTTTGCTGTATTTTGGCTAATTTGTATCTTTAAGATTAGGAAAGCTGTGAGTGGTTTCCTTTATTTTTGTTTTGTTTCTGGTAACTACTAATCCTAGGGAGACTTGGGAAGTGGCATTCCATTGGATTGGTGAACTGATAGCATTCCAGGCAGCCTTTCCTGTCCCAAGGAATCTCAGTGAATTGGGTACTGGCCCAGAGCTAGCCTCAAACTTGGGAGACAGAGCATTGTTTACTTAACTTCATATTCCTCTACCCACAGGCACAGAGCAGACTGAGCCAGAATTAGTTTGTCTTGACCTTACTTTCGACTCAACCACTAGCAGCGGTCAACTTTAGCTAGGGTGTAGAAGCCCAGAAAAATTGCAGCAGGGCCATAAAAGGTGCAGTCTAGGGAGGCCTGAGCTTTCCTCCCAGCTGATGGAAGGGAGAGAGCTGACTTTTCAGCAGCTGTCTACCCAGGAAAGCCCTCGTGTCCTTGAAGACATTAGTAATGTAGCTGGATGCATTTACTTTCAGATCAGCACACTTAGGCTCCTTTGGCAGAGGAAATGCATGACCTTGACTTTGGCTTGGCTGCCTGCCATCTGGGAGAGGACTGGGCCTGTTCTGCATGCCTGTCATGTTCCTTGTGCTTGGTCTTCTATGGTAGTGAAGTGGCAGAGGGAAAAGCAGAAATCTAGGTGAGGAGTAAAGCTTACAAGGAGCCATGGATGCGTTCTTACCCTTCGTGGACAACTTAGAAATGCAGGATGCACACAAAGCAAAGATTGCCTGTAACCCACTTCACTGTAAAGAGTTGCAGTTGTTTCCAATTTAACAAGAGGATTGTAATGCATGCACCGTATTTTAAGCTGCCATTTATTTTTTACCAAGGTCATGGATGATGAATGTCTTTTTCCTTTCTTCGTATTCTACCACAGGTTTTAAAATAGATGTCTTTTGTGATCCTGAGAAAGTTTCTCTGTTTTTAACTAAACTTCTCAATTGTTTTCAACTTCAGTTGCTGCAGTTTTCCATTTCCATAAATGAATTATCAAACACCCTAGAAACTAAATGTTGGTAACACCTACAGCTTGTTTTCCTAGGTATGAGTCTTGGGCATGAGGGTAATTATTATGTCAGGTCTTAAAAAATATGTCCAGACTTTTGTTACATATATCAGTGTTGTTCTTGGGATAGTTGAACCAATCTCATACTTGACATCGACTGCCTGTGGGGCATTGATGAGGGTGGAGATTTTGCCTAGCCCTTGCTATGATAGCAGCAATTATTTGAAAATCTGTACCATCCTGTTCTTCCAGGGAAAAGAATGAATTTGAACTCAGAGAAACTAATTCTTCTTAACCTTGGTCCCTAGTACCTGTCATCGATGTAGAACTTCTTCTATCCAGGGAAGAGAACACAGCTTTGTCATAAACAGCAGCTACTCATCCAGACCTAACCTAGGGGAGCACTTTATATGCATTTTATCACTTAATTATACAACAAACTCAGAGGAAAACTGCTGTCATGACCTACTTCCCCGTCTACTTAAAACACATTTTAAGAAGAGAAAACTGAAGTTTCAGAGATGTAATAATTAGTCCTAAGTCCTGGAGTTAGACATTTAAAGCACTGATATCTTTGAAGGCACCACAAACGACCCAGAGGTTGTAGAGCCACAGCTAAGCAGGGAGGCATAGACTTGCAGAACTCGGGGGAAGAACTCAACTGTTCTGAGTCACCCATCTGGCCTTCATCTTCCAGTTGACCATGTGGTACCTGAACCTGAGTCTGGCCTGACCGAGGCCTATGAAAAGTGGCGTGAGTGGGCCGATGGGAAGAGCTGCTGTGACTACGCTTTGCATGTGGACATCACCCACTGGAGCGACAGTGTCAAGCAGGAAGTGCAAAGCCTCAGCAGAGACAAGGGTGAGCAAAGCATCCAGTCTCCTGTGTCTTGGCTGCCATGTCTGTTTTTCCCAGAGTCCCATTCATGTGCGCCACTCCCCTACCTTAGAGACCGGTACCATGAGCACGAGTGTGGGGCTTCTGCTTTGTTCCAGGCACGTTACATTTATGCGACTTTTCTTACTTTTTACAGGATCCTCATGGGATAAAGAGTGTTAGTCACTGCGCAGTTGGAAAAGTAGAGGGTCTGAGTAACTGCCCAGGGTTGCATTTAATACACAATAGATCTATCCAGAGATGATGCATGTCACCTCTGTAAACGGCTTAGTTAGGTTTCCATTGCTTCGATTAAGCATCGTGACAAAATGCAACTAGGGGAGGAAAAGATTTATTTCATTTTGCAACTGGTAGTTCATCATTGAAGGAAGTCAGGACAGGCGCTGAAGCAGGGTGGGAACCTGGAGACAGGAACTGACGTACAGAGCTGGAAGAGGAACGTCCAACTGGCTTGCTCAGCCTGCCTTCTATAAGCACAGTGGACCCCCAACCCAGGGATGGCGCTGTTCACAGTTAGCTGGGTCCTCCCACACCAACCGTAGTAAATCAAGACAATGCAGCACAGGCTTGCCCACGGGTAGGGGCATTTTCTCAGCTGAGGTTCCCTGTTCCAAAATGCCTCCAGCCTGAATCAAGTTGACTTAAAACTAACCAGCACAACACATTATTGCCAGTTTTGCAGAGGGAGAAACTGAGGCAAGGTGACTGATCCTCCCAGAAGTCACATTGCTAACAAATTTGTGATCAAGGATTTCTAAACCCTATCAGTTTTACTGAAGACCAAAGTGTTAATATTATATAATAATGGCATCTTCAAGAATGGCTAAGACCTGCCAGGAACAAGGACAGATTGACTCTCTAGCTAGGAATGAGAATATGTTCCTGCAGTATTCCCCCCACCCCACCCCACCCCCGTGTGTGTGTGTGTGTGTGTGTGTGTGTGTGTATTGTTGTTGTTGGAGGAATCTGTGTGTGTGTATGTGTGTATGTATGTGTGTCTGTATTGTTGGAAGGATCCTCTTTGTGTGTGTGTGTGTATTGTTGGAGGAATCTGTGTGTGTGTGTGTGTGTGTGTGTGTGTGTGCGTGCCTGTGTGCATTGTTGGAGGGATCCTCTTTGTGTGTGTGTATTGTTGTTGTTGGAGGAATCTCTGTGTATGTGTATGTTTTGTTGGAGGGATCCTCTGTGTGTGTGTGTGTGTGTGTGTGTGTGTGTGTGTGTGTGTGTGTTGTTGGAGGGATCCTCCGTGTATTGTTGTTGGAGGTGTGTGTGTGTGTGTGTTGTTGGAGGGATCCTCTCCTGCAAAGATGAGTTTGGTTCCATCATCATCCTAGATTCTTCTGCTTTCTGTTTCTTCCTATGTTCTGATCATCAGACATTGAGTACCCACAGGAACACATATGCATATGCAAATATGTACCCTGTGCTCAGGTTTGTCAGGGGATCTGGAAACTCAGAAATGGATAAATGACAGCCTCTGTGGAAGTCCCAGTGCAAAAGGAAGCTGTCTAACCAGAGGCAGTGGAGTGGATGCTTAAAGCCTATGACCTATCTGGTCACAGGGCAAGGACTTCAGGAGAACATCATGTGTCTATGTGGAGAGGAGATGCCTTTTTCTTTCTATCTCTTGCTGCACCCCATAAATCCTGCCCAACCCTAGGTATCACAAAACATGCACTCAGGCCTCCCTCTTTGTGTTGCCTGTCAGTAGAAAATTCAGAATTTTAGCCAGCACATAGTGTCTAGGTCATTCCAAGGATGACTTGGAGGCTTTTGGAAAGGGGATGTTGTGGAGAGCTGCCCTGAGCTGACCCATGCTGCGTAGGGACATTCTTGAGCTATAATCCACTTTTGGCTGGGGAGACTGTGGGCTAAGCTTACCCTAATGGTTAAACCGAAATTATTTTCCTTTCCTCAAAATGATTTCCTGTTCTACCATGCCACCTACCTATTTATTTTGGGTGAAAATCAATAGATCTTTTCCTATAGTGCTAATGGCCTAAGTACAAGGCACAAATTGCTATCTCTTTCCCATTCCATTTGTTAGTTCACGGAGGCAAGGTTCTGTGCTTATTTTTATTTCTGCATTTGAAATTTAGATAATGTTATGGGAAAGAGTCATTCTTCACACTGTGTGTCAGTGCTCTATTGCTGTAAAGACATCATGACCAAGACAACTCTTAGAAAACATTTAATTGAGACTTATTCAAAGTTTTTCTGAGGTTCACACCATCTTCATCTTGGCAGCATGCAGACCTGGTGTCTGAGAAGTAGCTGAGAGTTCTACATCCAGATCAGCTGGCAGCAATGAGACAGACACTGAGCCTGGTTTGAGCATTTGAAACCCCAAATCCCACCCCCAGTGACACATATCCTCCAAGGCACACCTGCTCCCACAAGACCACACCTTAATCCCTGTCAAGTCTCCCCATTCCTAATGACCACGCATTCAAATAATTGAACCTATTATTACTCTCTCTCTTTCTCTCTCTCTCATTACCTAAGCAGGGTTTCTCTGTGTAGTTTTGGCACAGTTCCAGTAGTCCTGGAACTCACTTTGTAGACCAGGCTGGCCTTGAACTCACAGAGATTCACTTCCCTTTGCCTCCCAAGTACTGAGATTAAAGGCATGTACCACTACCACTTGGTTTATTCTTTAAAAAATTACAGAGAATGAAGGGTAAATAGTATACTTACAAAAATATAAACTTACTCTGTGTGTGCATGCATTTGTACATGTGCTATGCATGTGTATTCAAAAGTACAGTTTCAGTAACAGAAAATACATCATGTAAGTATATACCTTCGTGCTGTATACATGATGTATGTATACATGCTGAATCTTAGAAGCAAATTATTATAGGTGGGGGATATAGGATTTGGGCTTTATTTTATTTTGATACAAGGCCTTATTGGTTGCCCTGGTACTTTTTATATAGTTCGGGTCATCCCAAAACTTATGAAGTGCAATAAGGGATAGAAAGAAAAATTCATAGCAGTCCTGCCTCTGTCTCCTCAGTGACAGGATTAAATGCTTGTCCCCTCACCAGACCTGATTCAGAAGATTTTAAAGTTACTTTTATTGCCATCTTCTCTTAGGCACCTCCCCTACAGCCTAGTATATACCAGTCATTCACCAAATAGTGAAATAAACCCATCCCCATGGAGACCAGGAACTCAAAGCCTTTAAAGTGTTGCTACCTTCAGTGGACAGCTACCTTATGAGGTGGGAATTATTATTCCAATTTTAGGGGAGGACACTTCAGTTCAGAAGTTAAGCATTCCTAGCCCATTGCAGTCCATGGTGCATCCAAGTGTTGTAGCCCCTAGCTTCTGGGCACGGCTGATGTGCTATCATGACTTCTTTGATGTCTGCTTCCTTGAACAATGTGAAAGTTATCAATCTTCTGAACTGTAATGCTGGGAATTGGTGGTAGAAAAGGATACAGAAGAAGGCAGCACTCTTCGAGGAAACCACTTACCAACTACAGATTTTACAAGCACCAGAAGACATGATAAGATGGGACATTTAGAATGTTTCCCTTCTATGGGGCAGATACTTGAGCCATGCACTCAGGGACCATGGCGTGATAGACATGAGAAGGTGGTGGTGATAATTAATGTTGTCTTTTTTCTGATTTCCTTCCTTTTCTTGTCTTGCAGGTGTTAACTCCTTCATGGTTTACATGGCTTACAAGGATTTATATCAAGTGTCCAACACAGAGGTAGCAACCCGTCTGGCTGTGATGTTTGGATTGTCTGCACGCATGGGTTTCCTATTGCTGCGGATGACCTTGGCCCTTGGAACATGAGTCACTGTGGTTACAGTGGAAGGCTACTATGTCAGGCGGCCTATTGAAGCCCTTGCAGTCCCCACTGCATTTTAAAGGAGTTAACGGGCTACCTGCTCCTGGAGAAGCAGAGAGGAGCTTGAATTTCTCCTGGCAACAGTTGTCTTAAAGAACTAGAGGAAAGCTCTTGTCTCTAAGCCTCTCATAAATCTGATGATGTGAAGCTCTCTGCTTCATGAGATCAAACAGGCTTCCTGCTATTGGTGTCGGCTTGACTGTCATAATTGTTTCAGTTGGCCTTCCCCTAGGAAATCATGAGTGTGTCCCACATGGATAGATCTGAAATGATGGGGAGAAATGTAAGAAATTAGCACTCTTACCTTCTAGGTGGAGAGTGAGGGCAAACTTGTCTTTAGAGGATCAGATTAAGAGTGAGTATTGTATTAGTCCAGTACTCATGAAGTACTTGTAAAGAATTCTGTCACCATGTCTCAGCTTAGTGGGAAATTACTCAGACAAATGGATGCCAGAGACAAGGCTTGTTAGATAGTGGTCCTGTCTGTGCAAGTCCAGACAAGGCTTTCACACAGACAGAACCTCCTAAAATGTCTTTGTTTTTGTTTGTTTGTTTGTTTGTTTTGGATTGGTTTGATTTAATTTTGAGACAGGGATTCTCTGTGTAACCCCTGGAACGCATTCATCTAGGCTGGCCCCAAACTCAAAGAGATCCATCAGCTTCTGCCTCCCCAGGGCTGGGATTAAAGGCGTGTGCCACCATGCCTGGCTAAAATGTCTTTGGGCTGTATTCCTCTCTGGTTTAAGATACTGTTTCAGCTCTGGTTTTAGCAATGGGTCTTTATGGGAAGGTGGCTGTGAGGTTGTTCATTTCTGTTTCAGCTCTATGAGATTTTCACCTGCCTGGGAGAGCTGGGGGCCATTGCTCAAGTTCATGCCGAAAATGGAGATATCATTGCCCAGGTAACAAACATCACAGGGCAAGCCTTTTTTGTGTGTGAGTTTGGATCTGCATCCCATCCATTTCTCTCTTCAACATGTTTTGATGCCTCAAGTGTTCAGGACTGCCATAAAAACTTTGCTAAGGCCAAAATTCATGCTAAAAAACTCACAACTCTAGGCTAGTGCTTATAATCCCAATATCCATCAGAGGTGCAGAGGAAGAGGTGGCAGTGAGCTTTTGGTTTCCCGCTATAAACAGTGTACGTTACAGACTTACTCTTCAGCAATACAGTGGTGGCACACACCTTTAATCCCAGCTCTTGGAGTTGGAGGTCAGAGCTACACTGAGAAACTTTCTGGAAACCCCTCCCCCCAAAAAATTAATCTTCAAGGGCTCAGGTAGTGGTGCACACCTTTAATCTCCCAATTCAGGAGGCTGAGGCAAGACAGCTCACTGTGAGTTCCAGGCCAAAGAAGGCTATATAGTGAGACCCTGTTTCAGAAAACCAAAATCCAAACAAAAAAGATTGTCTTCAGATTAATATCACCGTAAATTATAAGTTACTAAACTTGCAGGTGTTTTTAAAATAGTTTTTCTGATGTCATCTTCTCCATTTGTTTTTAATTTGAGATAGCACCTCCAATTTACCTAGTTATGAACAGGTATGTCTAAAAGTGGCCCTACTGGCTCTTCTCTCCCTAAATGAGTTTAGAAACTTCTGACTAGAGTAAGAAAACTGTGTGATCTTGGTGGCCCACTTAACTGCATCTGGAATTAACTCAAACAAATTTCTGGGTACTTCTATGCAGGGCTCTCTCTCTTTCTCCCCCCCCTCCCCATACACGGTCTCCGTGTGGTGTTAACACACAGGATCGAATTGGCTCTGCTGGATTAAAGGCGTGTGTTGCTTTGTTGCCACGCCCAGACACAAGGGATTTTTCCTGTTCTTATTATTGGAGGTTGGGTGACCCTCCCTAAATGTGGGCGGCATCTTCCGGTGACATCCCAGTTAAAAGGGGGCGGTAGACGGAACCTTTGCGTTTAGGCCGCTTGCCTTTGCTCTAACTGGCAAGTTATTTTATCCTGCGGGAACCGCATTCCTTCACCGATATTAGGACGAATTTCTCTGGAATTTCAACAAAGACTGAAGACTGAAGAACATAGCACTCCAGGACCCCTTCCAGCCTTCAGCGCAGATTGGATCTGAAGAGAAGTCTAGCTACGTGCACTGAACAACTCCAGGACTGACCTCTCCAGAGCGAGAGAGACTTGGTCGGTTTGACTCCCCTGACCACATCCTTCTTTGCGAAAGCAAGGCTACTTCTAAGGAGTTCAGGCCATGGAGCATGTGTACCTTCACCATGACGCCAGTTTCAACAACCCGGGAAAATATGAGATCGAGGTAGAAATCGAGGAGGAACAAGAGACTACCACAGCAGAAGGGATCCTCAATTTTTGCGAATGTGCTCTACGCTTCATAGACAAACCCGCGTACCAAGGTATCCCGAATCACCAGGGTGATGGGAACCACGCGCGCAGCTTGAACGGCATTGATTGTGACGTCGCCTACGTGAGCCAAGAAGCGAGCCACCAAAGTCCAGGGCAGATACCACTGGAAGAATTGGTTTCCACAGTCCAACAGCCCCGGAAGAGCACTCGACCACGGATCCGCAGGGGTCTCACACCCTGGCAGCTAAACAAACTGGAGAGAGTTTTCAAGGAGGTTCAGTACCCAAATGAGATCTCAGAGAAGAGTCTTGCGAAGCACCTGTATATGAAAGAATCTGAAGTGCACCATTGGTTTAAGAAGCGAAGAGCCAAGTATAGGAAAAATCAAGTCTCCGAGGGTGCCCCTGATGGTATCCAAAATGTCTTCAACTAACGTTTTTAGAGGAGCTCTGGAGTGCCTGCCATTCTACTCCAGGAGCAAACATCTCTTCAGCAGTAAAGAAAGTTGAAGGTCAGCCAAAGCTACCCAGGGAAAGCCCAATTTAGAAAAACAAACAAACAAACAAACAAAACCACTGAAATAAACACAAGATCCCCATAATCTATGATGAGGACAACAGAAAACAATGGGAGAGAGAGCAAGGGATGAAAACAAGGAAAAACTTGAAGAATGTAGAGGACCGATCAATCTTGGCAGCCAGACCAGATTAGAGAGGAGAGTTCCAGATTCAGAGCGGGCCAGGGTCTTCACTGAAAATGAACCATCATGAGGCAGCTTTTCTTTGAAGGCAGAAATCTGATCCAGGATTGCAGAACTCGGACAGTAATGAATTTGGGTCTTGTGGGATCCAACATCCACTGGTTTCCTAGAAGTCACATTGAGTGACTTGAAAGAATGATGAAGGCAAGAGCTCAGAGCCCCAAACTGATCGTTTGTAGGAAACAAAGCAAGTTCCTATCCATCTCCTGGGCTGCTTAATGGAACAGATGCACAGATGTGCTTTCCTCAGGGGTATGCACTCAGCACTGGCCTCTGCTGGAGGAGCTGGTAAGACAGAAGACCTGGTTGATGACCTTAATGAGAAGCAAAGTTCCTTCATGAATAGTGTCTGAGCACCGGGTGCCAGGAGCTTGACTGTCCACACAAACATGGACAGGCTACCTCTCTCCTTCAGAAGGTTGGTGACTGTGGTCAGCAGGCACGCAGGAGTACTGTGTTGGCTAGCTCTTGCCTTGCTAGCTTCTGAGTAGGGCAGGTACCACTGGAGGAATGGAAGCCCCTAGTTTCCACAGTCCAACAGCCCCAGAAGAGCACTCGACCACGGATCCTCGGGGGTCTCACACCCTGGCAGCTAAGCAAACATTTGTTCTGGTATGTTCTCAGTCTTCCAAACTTTTAAGGTGCCATCACCCTGCCTGTTTTGCAGATGAGGAAGTCAAGGCTCAGAAGGATGCCATCACTGGCTTATAGATCATGACAAGTAACTGTCTCTTAAATTGGTGTGCCCTGGTAGGCATCTTTACTCAGAGATCATGTGTCCGGGGATCCTTGGCTCTTCATGTCCCACAGTACAGGGCTCTAGATGTTGTGATTTTAGAGTCTCAGCAACTTCTTGAGAGTAGAGGAGGTGACTAAGTGTGTAATTTCCTCTGACTTACAACCAAGAAAGCTAATTAGTCAGGACCCTGATGTGCTGTCTTCACATGTCTCCCCCAGACCTAGACTTAATGAGATCTTTTCCCATGGAGTGCTCAGTTGTCTTGATCTCAGGGAGTAAACACATGGATGCGAGAACTGTTAGCCCTCTCTTTTCTCCATGTGTTCAGCCCAGCAGCCAGAGGCCCCAGCTCTTCCTCTGGTGCGATGAAATTCAAACTCCTGCTTCTATTTTAGGCCTGTAGCTATGACAGGGCTCCAAGTCAAAGCACTGCTGTTTGGCTGTTTGATTCCTTTCCCCCTGTGGCTCCTCAGTACAGATGCTCTCTGGCTAGTCTTCATCCCACCCTTTGCTGACCTTGGGAAGATCTGTTCTCCATCAGGAGAAAGAATTGGAGCATTTTTCCATTGGGATGAGTTTCTGGTGTGCATTCATTAGATTCAGCTTTTTAGCTGAAGATTGTATCACGTCATCTAAATGAAGGCAGCTGCTATCCTCAGAGTTTCTGGCTATACTTCTGCAAAAGCAAAATAAAACCTCCTTGTGTACAAACAAGGACAATTTTCAGATCTTTCCAATTCCAAGCTAGGCTGGGCTTGTTTAAATTATGCATTGGAGGAGTGGCCTTATTCCCACAGAGAAATGTAGCTCCCACTCCTCAGCGAAGAAGCTCCCCTTTGCTGTAGTGCTAGGCCATCACAGAAAGCCACACCTGGTCACACACAGAAGACTGATGCCTTGGTGGATGTCCTACGACACAGATCCTGTACCCAAAACTCAAGGACCATGAGTCAGAAGGATCGTAAGAACCAGCACAGAAGGTCTGCTGTGAGACTGTGTCTCCCAGAAATGACAGAGACACTTCTCCCAGGATGTCACCACATTATGGCTGCCAAAGAGGACCTCAACATTAGCTCTAATAGCACAAGAACTCAGAAGAGCAAACTTTCATGGGCGCTCAACCCTAGGCAAAGAACTACAAGCAACCAGTGACCTTGGAAAAAAAGAATCAGTCTCTCCCAGGATAAGTCCCTAACTGTTTATCCAATGCCAAATAATTAGCCCTGAAATTATGTACATACAAGATTCTTGTATTTATGTTTATGTAATAACTGTAATTAAAGAAAAACAGGCCAAGGGACCATGGATTGGAAGGCAGTGAGATATGGGTATATGGGAGGGGTTGGAAGGAAGAAAAGGGGAGAAATAATGTAATCACATTTTAATTAAAATAAATAAAAAATTTAAAAGAAACTTAATCTATCTGATTCATAACAAAGCAAGCCCCATTTCCTTGTTGGAGCAAGCCACAGCTGTGCTGTGGCCAGAATAGTGAAGTCATTTCTGTCTTGTACACTTAGAAACAGTGTGTTTCCAGTGACCTTGATAAGCTAGCTGTATCCAGTGTTAATGCATGTGACCGTGATAGAGGTCATATAAGGCAGAAGATACTCAGTTGTAAACCTTAGCCCTTATGTGCCTCATCAGGGAGGACTCTTACTGGAGTTTGAAAGAAAATGTCTAGAATTCAATGACCAGAAGACAAAATGGGTGTGATTTGATAGAAAAATCAGCCCATGAAGGTTTTACAGAATTTACTATGTATGCCATATAGTGCTGACTTTTTCCTGCCCCTATTTATATTTACTTATTTATGTATTTATTTATTGAGGCAGGGTTTCTTTGTATATCCTTGGTTGTCCTGGAACTCACATTGTCGACCAGGCTGGCTTCGAAATCAGAGATCCCCCTGCCTCTGTCTCCCAAGTGATGGGATTAAAGGTGTGGGTCATCAAGCCCAGTTTTCTGTTCCCTTTTTAGTCTGTCTGGGTTCCAAGCCCAACCATGGAATGATTCAGCCCATCCTCAGATAATCTCCAGACACACCCAGAGGTATGCCTCACCAATCTAGTCTGCTAGGTAATTGCAAATCTAATCAAACTGACCTGGGAAGACAGACCATGAAGCTTAACCACAACCTACAAGCATTTTCCAATCTCTCCTCTTAATCTGAATTACTAACAGCAAAACAGGTTCTTTCTAGCTAATAGGATCCTTTTGTGTTAACTCTGCCCCATAGTCACCAGGTGAGATAGCCTTGGCGCTAATGACATCTCTCCTGAATTACCAGGATCTCCCAGGCCATTGGGCTGGGATCACTGAAGCAGAGGTTCTTAGGAACTAGACTTAATAATTTCAGGGTGCAACTGTAGAAAATGGGAGCCCAGGCTTTCTGCTACCCATGATTGTGTTCACCAGCCACCTGATTCTCTGTGAATGTTGTTCATAGGTGTGAGGATGATTAGTCTTCCACAAGAAGCACTCCTTTCTGTCATGCTATGATGTACATGGAATTTTACCAAACAGTAACTCAGGGAACGCTGTCAAGAGGCACAGTTTTGTTTGGTTGAATTCTGCATCCAATCATCTAACCTGTGGATTTAAAAAAACCCAGAGGGGGTTATTAAAAAATGAGTTGTCAGAACTTGACACTGTAGTTTCTCATTAGGTCACAGCTGGATTGGAAATCTGTACCTGGAATAAAGCAGCCCAGATAAACCTGATAGAGTTGACAGGCGACCACATGCTGGGGGGTCTGGCCCTAAACTGTAAATTACACTGCCTTAATCCAGGTACTTAGCCCAGAGCATAGCCTGGAGCAGATGTCCACACCTTTTATTGAATAGAAGCAGCTAAATTCAAGATTTAATCAGCTGACTTGTGAGACAAGGGGTATATTTGCAGGGAACTGGGTCTGAAAGAGACAAAGAGTGAGTGACATTTTATTGGTAATGTAGACAAAACATGAACACTCTTAACTGGTGGCACATGCTGGTAGGATTTGCTCCAGAGGCAAAGGCAGGCAGATTTCCAGAGAAACCCTGTCTCAGAGAAAAAAATAAATAAAAGTAAAAGAAATAGAGCAATAGTAATAGATAAATAAAGAAATGACCTTGTAAAGATGGAAGACAGCAAACGGCCAACAGCTTCATAATTAATACAGTGTCCTGTGTGTTGTTTGGGGTTTCAGACAGCTTGACAGGGCCTAGGCAGACGGCAGGGCGGGGAAGACAACATGTTACTCTTAACTATCTTCCTTTTAATAAATTGATCCAGTTAGCTTTTTAAGGATTTAACTTTACAACTGCAAATGTGGAATCATATTTTATTCTTTATAAATTTTATTCTTTCCCCTGAGTGCATCTTAGTCCAGAGCATGCAGATGTAATTTCCCCAAATCTTGGTTGGACCATCTAAGAACTTTCTGTTCTTCATTTTTTTCTTATTTTAGGAGCAGGCCCGGATGTTGGAAATGGGGATAACTGGCCCAGAAGGCCATGTTCTGAGCAGACCAGAAGAGGTGGGTTTCATGGCGTAGAGCAGAAAGGCCATACAGGGAAAAGTCAAGATGGCAGTAAGAGTGGAAAGTGACTGCCACCATCCTAGCCTGACATTCACTTTACATCTGGAGTGTTTCTTTTTGACCCTGATTTCTTGAGCCCCATATCCACACAGGGTAGGCATGAGCATGCCTGGAAGGTGAGAGAATCTATGAGCATCTGCTAGCATTGTTGGAAGACCTCTCTCAAAGACCTCTTCTCACTAGAAAATAATGTATGGGAGATGCTCACCTCTGGCCGTCAGGTGCAGGACACTCTGTGGGCCTTCAGGAGGAGTGCTAAATGTCTAAGTCTTTGTTAATCATGAATACTGGGGACATTCTTATGCACTCTCTCATACTGCTTTGAGTCTTGCAAAACAATGTGGATTAGAAGGTTGAATTGACTTTTCATAGGCACTATGCCTGTTGAATTGAATAAAGTAATGATTGTGGTCGGAAATGGAAGTTTTTTCACTTATGAAATGATTGAGGCTGTGCATCTGCCAGTAAAAGGTGACTAGTGGCTAATTCCTATCTCCTATACCAGCCATTTCTCACATCAGCACAGAGCCTGCAATGAATCTCCCACCAATCTGAAAGCGAGGCATCTCTGACCCACAGCCTTGAGTGATCCCAGAACTCCTCAGTCTTGAGTGATCCCAGAACTCCTCAAGTCAGTGAAGCTAATCCTGTTATGCCAAACTCCACAGAAGAGCCAGAACTAAAATATTTTGTCCTTTCCTCATCCATTCTAGAGCCTGAAAAAAAAACAAAACTAACACAAATATAGAGAAAATTTCCTATTACAACATATTTTCATAAGCTGAATATACTTGTATCTTGTATGGGGCATCAAGATGGAGACAGAACATGGCCAGCTTCCTAGAGGTTTCTAGTTGATACAGTGTGCTATGATTAATGACGAATTAAATTACAATTAAAATTAATGATTGACATTTCGGTCACACATGAAGTTTCTGTGCCCTGATAACTCCAGGCCCTCTCTAAGGGACATTTACTTATTTCTGGCAGTGCTAGCTGAATGCATTGTCTCAGTTAGTCTTGCTGCCACGCCAGGTGGCAGGTGGTGGCATTGTGTGGTAGAGAGCCTAAAGTTTAGAGAAAGCCAGCCATGGGGCTGACCATGTTTAAAGAACTGGAAACTCATTTGTGTGGGGTCAGTCGACCACAATGGTCAACACTGTGAAGCTGTGACTGCTGGTCATTGGAGGGATGTGCTGGCGAGATGGACTTCTTTGGATGCGGCCAGGGGATTTCACAGAAAGTCTATTTCTGTTCCTTGGTTTGTTTTTTCAGCCTCACTCCACCCCCACCACCTCAACCTTCCCTGGTCCCATCTCCTTTTTAGTAAGAAGGCCACTTAGCTGTAAATCTCTACAACTCTAGAAGCTCTTCTGAGTAAAGCAGAAATGTGATGTAACCTTCCAAAGATAGTGCTGTTGCCAAAGTGTAGTAAACCCTGCAGTGCTGGGAAGGAATGAGATCCAAACAAGGGACCAGGATTGAGGTCATGGGGCTGCCGAAGTGGTCAGCAAAGGTATGAAGGGGGGGTGAGCACGGGAAAAACCAGCTGCTCTCCACTTCAAAGCTCACCCAGATGTAGTCTCAAGTGAGGCTGTTAAGAAAGGAGTGTCAGAGTCACAGAGCATGATCTCCAGGATGCCATGTCAGGGGCTTCACCTGTACCCAGAGCCTCCTGAAGGATGGCAGTTCAGCCAACCCAGCACCTCAAGCCGACTGAACCACATTCACCACGAAGGGACTGGTTTGCATTATGCAGCCACTAGACATCTGCAAGCTATTTGGAGCCTATTTTTTTAAGTGTCGGTCTGTGCAAGCTAACCCATAAGCTCATATGCATATGAGAAGGAATGGCTGATGATTCAATGAGAAATCACCACTGTCTCCACTCCAGGCCAAACAGGACTTGCTCATGGTTTGCGCAATAGCAGACTTCACATTGGTCAGAAACTGTGATCAGCAGCAATTACACCAATAGCCACTGTTCTGGGCACTCATGTCTCAAAAGGATTAATCATTTAACCCTTCCAACAACCCTAGATGCCAGGACTCCCTGTTACTCCCACTCAGACGGGAAAGCAGCAGAACTGGGTGATTGAAGTTACCCAACTTGTACACGGAAGAACCAGGGTTCACTCTTCATCCACCCAAGGGGGCCTGAGCTCTCAGATCCCACTTGGTTAATCAAATGTGGGGAAAACCATTGTCTCAGAATGTCGTAAGTGCAGCTGGGCTAGTTGGCTTATTTGCAAACATGTATTCTACGTTGGAGTAGGTTGGAAGAGGTCAGAAATGAGAGCAGCGTTTGTGCTGTGGAGCTTGGCTTGGGAATTATTCCCATAAGAAATCCTTCACCACTCTAACCCTTTGCCTTTGCTGAGTTCATTGCTGTAAGAAAGGACTGGATGTCCTTGGGTGCCTGATAGTCTTCACTGGAGATTCACACCTGCTGATGTGACTCTGGTTGGGGAGTAGAAGCTCCCATTTAGGGAGAGGAGAGAGGCTGTGCTCTAGACACAGCCCTGTGCTATTCTCGGTGTTTCTCTGTTGAGGGACGGCGGAGGCACCTAGTTGCCCAGGAAAGTAACACAAGGGGTGGGGTCATGCATCCTAGAAGCAGACTCAGGCCATGTAATTTCAGATCCTCCTGGTGTCTCAGCCTCCACACAGCACTGTATCACCACCTTTTAAAGAGGCAGGGTGAGAGGCTTGTGATCTTACTGATTCCTGGGTACCTTTTTTTCTTCTTTGTAGCTGGAAGCTGAGGCTGTGTTCCGTGCCATCACCATCGCCAGTCAGACCAACTGCCCCCTCTATGTCACCAAGGTCATGAGCAAGAGTGCAGCTGATCTCATCTCACAAGCCAGGAAGAAAGGTAATTGGTGCTCCTGGGATCTTTTTTTTTTTTTTTCCGAGACAGGGTTTCTCTGTATTGTTTTGGAGGCTGTGGGTCCAGCCTGGCCTCAAACTCACAGAGATCCACCTGCCTCTGCCTCCCGAGTGCTGGGATTAAAGGCATGTGCCACCACTGCCCGGCGCTCCTGGGATCTTGAGCCTCCTAATGCACCACGTGGCTTCTCCCTCCCTTCCTGGCTGCCAACTGTGATACAAATGGCACCTTTTCTGTTCCTTGCCTTGCTCTCTCCCATTGGCTATATAAGTAAACTGAGGCTTAGGACGGTTAAGTAATTTACCTGAAATAACAGCATGAACTAATGCTCTGACACTTTATACATCTCTGACACACTTTCCATCTGTCTGATGTCAGTTTGCATTATCTGAGCTTTATAAATAGATATACCATTCAATATTATGCTGAGTGTAGATGTCAAAGATCCAGGCAAAATTGGCTTCAACAAGCAACCGGATAAGCAAAGTACTGGTTGTAAATAGCTTGGGGGTTTCAGCTCTGACATTAGTGCTCTAAAGCTCTCACTGTAGGTTTTATGATTGGCATCAACAGTGACAGGAATAGATGATATGGGAGGTGGGTTTTGGGCGGGATCTATTGTCCTCAACTCCTGGTGAGGGATAAAATGAAGAAAAGGTTCAAGCAAGTGTTTAAGAATACTGTGATTACCTTGTCTGGGGTCTGTGTGCACCCCTGAATCAAAGCATGCCCTAAAGACAGCATTGTCTGGCCCGTTCTGGGAGCTCTCATCACCGGGTTGAGGTCACCTCACCTGGTCATACAGGTTAGCACAAGTTAACTTAGAAAGGACTGCAATGCTCTTTATTTGCACTGTGGTCTTCATGGCCCAAGGTTCTGTCCTCTTGGCCTTTTCTGCCCTCTACTTTGCTGTCCACTGCTGTTACCTGGGGCTTGCAGTGTCTTGAGTGCCATTGCAAAGCTTTGTGTGTGAGTTTTGTATATTGTCCTTAGTGATAGGCTCATGGACTCAGTGGTGAAGCTGGGCACGTAAGCAGCGTGATTGAGATGTGGGCTGTGCTTGATTGTGAAAGAAGGCTCCCCAGGCGGTCGTGTATTTGCTGTTGCCATGTGCTGATGCTCAGCTGTTAGCAGAGAGACCCACGATGAGTGACTCATCAGCTAAGTGGTCCTGTGGAACTTCCATGTGGGGAACATGGGGGCTTACGAGGAGCCAGGCTGACTTCTGGCAGTGTTTTTCAGCTCTAGTTTGCTGGGGAACGGTGGCTCCCTTTCTATGGATTCTATGTGTCCAGATGTCTTCCTAGCTGTCAGGTACTGGGTTATTTCCTATCTGTCTGAGATCACAGTAAACCGGCCTTTTTTTCTCTCTCAGCAGTTAATGATGCCACTCTGCTGGCTGAGAGGTGTCCAGGAGAACCAGCAGAGCTGTCAAACTCTCCTTACTAGAAGTAGGGTGGGGAGAGGTGGGGAAAAGGAAGAGGAGAGGCCACCACAGTCACCACCCAGCCCTAACCACCTAGTTCAGTAACCTCTCATGCCTCTGCTGGCGTCCCTGCCCTACTTGAGCTCTATGCTCAGAATAACCAGGGAACCCTCAGGGAGGATGGATTGTTTCTAAGGGTATGCTGCTCTTGTTCATTTTCATGTAGAAACATCTTTCCATTAGCCTTCTGGCTTGTGATTTTCTTGGAAGGAGAACTCACAAAGCTAAGTCTACAAGGTGAAGAGGATGTGCAACTCGGTGACAAAACAGGCTGGGGATATTGAAGCTGGGAACATCAGGGATTACCTCCAGCAGGAAGATGGAGCATGGGCTCATTCCTCCCTCCTGAATCTGTTCCTGTTCAAGTCCCCAAGGAATCTCATGACCCATCACCAGTACTCTTTAAGAGATTCTGACGCTCTAATTAATCTTAAAAATTACAACTTAAAACCAGGGCAGGGGTTGTCTCTCTGTGGAGAAAGCACTTGTGTAGAAGCTCCAGGGCCTATGCATGAGTACCTAAACACACAGACAGACACAGACACACACACACACACACACACACACACACACACACAGAGAGAGAGAGAGAGAGAGAGAGAGAGAGAGAGAGAGAGCAGACACAGACACACAGACACACAGACACACAGACACACACACAGAGAGAGAGCAGACACAGACACACAGGCACACACACATACACAGAGACAGCAGTCACACATACAGACAGACACAGACACACAGAGAGACACACACACAGACACACAGCAATACAGTGAGGTGCTGAAATTAGTACTCTAATTTCAGAGTTCCCAGTTCTGAGGAGTGTAATAGGGCTGCTCTTATCACCTTGCTTTGAATGAAGAAATTTGTGTAACTGGGTAGGTAGTTCAGTATTTGAAATCAGATACAATGGAGAATTTCAGCGTCTCCTAAAAGTAGTCCCAAGAAACAGTTGGTCCTCTCTTAAGGATGAGTTTCTGGTAATAGCTGAGTGTTTTCCTTGAATCTTTCTTCTGCATTTCTTCTTAGCCCTATATTTTGTCAATCCTTGTTAACACCATTCCTTAAGGCAGGGGTGCACATATGAACCACTGATATTTTCTTCTTTTTTCCTGTGGCAGCAAAATATCCCTAATCAGTCAGGAATATTTTCTAGTGAAACCAAAAACACTTATAGAATTCTCCCCTACCTAGTATTCCATAATATCCTTAACAATTGATTGAATTTGAAATGAGGCAAAACCTCTCTATAACCCCACCTGTGAAAAATCCTAGAAAATGCTTGTGCAAACGCTGATGGCAGAAGGCAGAAAAAGATGAAGGTTAAAGATGCCCAAGGCTTATTGGCATATCCTTGTCCCAAGACACTGATGCAGAGAAACGAGGGGCTGACCAGGTTTGGGGAGAAGCATTTCTTTCTGAGTCACTATCTCTCTCTTTTTTTAAACGTTTAATATAAGCTCAATACAGCATCCAAGGTTCAGCGGCATCTTAATGCTGGGTCTCTAGAACCAAATCACTGTTTGTCATAATGACAAACGCATAGCTGGGGAAAACAATAATTTAAAAGCAAAACAACAACAAAAAGCATGTAAGAGCCTCCCAAATCACTGTTTGTCATAATGACAAACGCATAGCTGGGGAAAACAATAATTTAAAAGCAAAACAACAACAAAAAGCATGTAAGAGCCTCTCCTCCAGAATGGGCTTACGCTGTAGGTCCAAATCTTGTCCTTGGAGCAGAAGGACCTGGCAGTCCCCAGCAATGTGGAGCACACTCAGGACTTTGGGCCTCTACAGTGGGAAAGTGTAGACAGTAAAGGAGTTAGTACTGAGGAGAGGGCTCAATAGTTAAGTGTCTGCCTTGCAAGCAAATCAAGAAGCTAGCGTGGTGGTCTGCTCTTATATCGTGAGTTCTGGGGTTGGAAGGCATCCCCAGTTGTCTTGCTGGCCAGTTAAGCTTGTCCAGTTGCTGAGCCGCCACCACTTTAGTGAGAGACCCTGCTCCAAAGAGTAAGATGGAGCATCCGGTAATGGCCTCTGGCCTCTACACCGTGTGTACACATGCAAAATACTGCCCAAAATGACTTGTAAAACACACACATACACACAAGAAATTAGTATTTATTGGACATCTGCCCTGTGCCAAGTACTTCCTGTATTCTAAGTCCTCTCACAAGTCTGAGGGGTGAGCAACATCTCATGCCATTAGTTCTAGGACACATTGCTTTGATATCTTCATGTTTCAAAATGAGTATAGCTCTTATTATCTGTATAATTAGTATACATCTCAATGTTTCAAAATGAGCACAGCTCTTGTTATCTGTATAATTAGCATATAGTTGTATTATCTTCAGGTCAAATTTAAAATTGCTTTCAAACTGTGAGGATTACTGCCACACCTTGCAACTAGTGGCTTCTTATTTACAGAATACACATTTGTTCACATTTAATAGAAATACAGACTAAAAAAAGCTGTGACTAGAAACTTGAACCCCAGGGTTGCCCCACTCCGTAGACAAAGCCTTAAGGAGAGTTAGAATTCTGACTAGTTATGCTGGACTGGAGCAGTATATATTTCTTGCAAACTTGACATCCTCTTCTTCCAGGAAATGTGGTCTTTGGCGAACCCATCACGGCCAGCCTCGGAATAGATGGAACCCATTACTGGAGTAAGAACTGGGCCAAGGCAGCCGCGTTTGTGACATCCCCACCTCTGAGCCCTGACCCAACCACGCCTGACTACATCAACTCCTTGCTGGCCAGGTTGGTGCAGGCATGCCATGTGTTCTGTGGAGTCCTCTGGGATGGGGGCTGCAGGGGTGTGGTCTAGATGGTAGCTGGGAGTCTGTTGAGTACAGAAAGCTGGTTCTTCTACATTACCATTCAGTCGATGACAGTTCCAGTGTGAATAATGGTCCTAGCAGCTGATTCCTGTTACACGCCAAGCTTGTGCTCACTCTTGTCCCTCATAACAACTTTATGAGGGAGGCACTATTACCACCATCTTACAGATTAAGCAACTGATGGTCAAGGCTCTTAAAGTTATTTGTCAGAACTCAAAGCATTTGTCCTGATGATACTTAGCCAGTAATTACAGGGAGACTCAAAATCAGGCTACTGGTTATTGGAGTCCTTATATTTTTACAACTCTGTCTCTCTGTCTGTCTATCTCTCTGTCTCTGTCTCTCTCTGTCTGTGTGTGTGTGTGTGTGTGTGTGTGTGTGTACAATCATGCACGCCTACATGTGAATGCCTGCTTGTTTCTGCGTGCTCCTCATGTGCAGTTGCCTGCAGAGGCCAGAAGGAGGCGTAAGGTGGCATGGACTTGGGGTTAGAGCCAGTTGTCAGTCACCTGGTGTGGACCCTGAGAACCAAAGGATCCCCTGCAGCAGCGGCAGGTGCTAATAACCACTGACTCATCTCTCCAGCCCTCATTGGATTCTTTGTTGTTTGCCACAGAAGGCATGATCTAATTCTACGTCCTTGCTTTCTAGATGGGTAACTGAGCCCAGAGAGGGGAGGAAACTACCCAAGCTCACTCAGACAGCTTAGTAAGGGACAGAGGGACTTCAAACTCAAGACATGATTCCACCCTCTGCTCCCTGTGCTCTCCAGCTATCTCTCATAGTCATGTAAACCTTTCTCCTTTGCCAGTGGTGATCTGCAACTCTCTGGAAGTGCGCACTGTACCTTCAGCACTGCCCAGAAAGCCATCGGGAAGGACAACTTCACAGCCATCCCTGAGGGCACCAATGGTGTGGAGGAGCGTATGTCTGTCATCTGGGACAAAGCTGTGGTAAGGGACTGAGGTGGTCAAGGGAGGGTGGTCCAGGCTGCAATGCCAATGGATCAAATTAAAGCACCAGTCACCAGTCAAGTTAAGACATCGACCCTCAGGGATGCCCTGGAGAGGAATCAATCACATGGTGAAGGTGAGGTCTAGAAAAGCTGAAATGTCCATGGAGCCAGGTAGCTCATCCTTCTAGAAATGACTCCTGAGGTCTAGAACTCTTAAGGAGGTTTCCGTACATAAATATAATTCCTTCATCTGCTTTCATGAATGATCTGTGCTTAGGATGATAGTGCATCCATTATTTGTGTTGAAGAGCTCTATAACTAATTTTGAAAGGATTAAATATGATGCTTTGAAATGACATCTCTGCCTAAAGTCACCAAGTTACACCAAAGGCATCCCACACCGAGGGCATTTGAAACCCACCAGGCTATACAAGAGATTGACTCTCAGTGTCTCTTGGCCAGTAGCATTTTATATTCTCTGTTTCATAAAGACTGATGAAAGAAGTAACCATATCAATGAAACACTCCCAGAGATTTTAGTAAAATTCATAAGAGACCCATTGTACAGTTAGCCGCCTATGTGTAATACCAACGTAGTGTCTCTGAACTAGTGTGTCCTTCATCTACACGGGCGACCTGACAAGACCCTTGCTCTTGACTTCTAGGAAGCCATCATAGTCAGGGTTTCTATTGCTGTGAAGAACACCATGACCAAAAAGCAAGCTGGGGAGGAAAGAGTTTTATTTGACTTACACTTCAGCATTGTTCTTCATCCCTGAAGGAAGTCAGGACAGGAACTCAAACAGGGCAGGGTCCTAGAGACAGGAGCTGATAAAAAGGCCATGGAGGGGAGCTGCTTACTGGCTTGCTTCCCATGTCTTGCTCAGCCTGCTTTTTTATAGAACCCAGGGCCAGCAGCCCAGGGATGGCACCACCCACCATGGACTGGGCCCTCCCCCATTGATCACTAAATGAGAAAATGCCTTAGAGCTGGATCTCAAGGAGGTGTTTTCTCAGCTGAGGCTCCATCCTCTGATGACTATAGCTCGTGTCAAGTTGACACACAAAACCACCCAGTACATAATCTTAAGACTGAGTTTGAAAACTAATTATTTCTATACTTAGGCTTTGTTTCATGAAAAGAGAAAGTATAACCTTTTCGTCTCTTCTCCCACATGGTTGACTTTTGTCAATTTTGTTAAAAATACCTATTTATTTACATCCTGACCACAGTTTCCCTTCTCTTTTCTCCTCCTAGTCCCTTCCCCCACCTTTTTTTTCTGCACCCCTCTAATTCACTCCTCTTCCATTTTTGTTCAGAAAATGGGAGACCTCCCATGGATATCAGCAGGACGTGGGATATCACGTTGCAGTGAGACTAAGCACCTCCCATTCCATTAAGGCTGGATGAGGCAACCCATTATAAGGACTAGGGTTGCAAAGGCCAGCAAAAGACTCAAAGACATCGCCAGATCCCACTGTTAGGAGTCCCACAAGAAGACCAAGCTATATAGCTGTAATATATATGCAGAGAGCCTAGGTCAGTTCCATGCAGGCTCCCTGGTTGTGGGTTCAGTTTCTGTGAGGCCCTACGAGCCCAGGTTAGTTGATTCTGTGAGTTTTCATGTGATGTCATTGACCCCTCTGGCTCCTACAATCCTTCTGCCCTCTCTTGAGCAGGATTCCCAGAGTGCAGTCTAATGTTTGGTTGTGGGTCTCTGAATCTGTTTTCATCAGTTGCTGAATAACCTCTCTGATGACAAGTGGGTTAGGCACCAATCTATGAGTATAGCAGAATATTGTTAGGCATCATTACATTAACTTTTTCTCTCCAGCTGTGTTTGGTCTATCCTAGGTTTCTGGGCCAAATAGCTTCTGAGTCCTGGCACTCCAGGCAGCATCAGGGGCGGGCTCACTCTCATGGCATGGGTCTCAGGCTGGGCCACTCATTGGCTGGTCACTCCCACAATGCTTTATCTTTACAGATCCTATCTTAATATGTTTAAAATTAACATAAAGCTTATATATGCTGCATATAGATATTTCTGTTCATATGAAACCCATAACTGGTCCCCTATGATTAAGACCCTAGTGAAATCATACATGACTTACTGTGTAAGAGAACTCTGTGATGGTCACAGGACAACAAAATCACTTCTTAGAACATATCCTCATTCCTTAGCAACACTTAACTTTAGTTTTTTAATTGACAACATGATACATGCTCAACAAAGGACACTCAGAAACCTTAGATAAATGTGTATCTGAAAAAAAGACATAATTCTTTAACACAGGCCTATCCATTGTCACCGTCTGCAAGGCTCTTTAACACAGGCCTATCCATTGTCACCGTCTGCAAGGCTCTGCATATCTATCTTGTGAACATAAAAGTAAACACATGTACCTGAAGAATGGGATCACACTCACATTTGTTACTGTAAATTCTCTCTCATCTTTTTTTGGAATTAGTAAAAGTAATTCAAGTAATCTACATGTACATAACTAGGAAAAATGTATTCTTCAAGAGAAGTAACTTCTATTAGTGGCATGTTGCTAGAGTTTTTCTTGTTCCATCAGGTCCTGCCTCCCCTCAGCCCCAAATAAGCACACAAAGGCTCATGTTAATTATTTAACTGTTGGCTGATGGTTAGGGCTTCTTATTGGCTAGTTCTGTCTCAGTTATTAACCCATTTCTATTAATCTATGTATTTCTACGTGAACTTATCTTACCAGAGAATGCCTGGCTCATCTTATCTTCCCTGTCTGCTATATGGCATCTCTTTGGAATCCATCTGCCACCTTTCCCAGAATTCTCCTCATCTCCTAGTCCTGCCTATCTTCCTGCCTCTATTGGCCAAACAGTGTTTTATTCATCAACCAATAAGAGAAACATATATCCAGAAGAACATCCCCCATCAGTGGCACACTTGTGCATTTTCCTTGTAGAGTTCAGACTGTCTAGCTGACCTCCAGCTTGCTGGATAGGTGGAATCTGTGCTCAGTACCTTTGTGCTCCTGGGCCTTTGTGGTCCCTTTGCTCTGAGCTAAGAAGCCTTGCACTGATAGAGCTGCCATTGACCTGGAGACGGGCACAGACACACAATCTCTGTATTTCAATAGGCCACGGGAAAGATGGATGAAAACCAGTTTGTGGCTGTGACAAGCACCAATGCTGCCAAGATATTCAACCTGTACCCGCGCAAGGGGAGAATAGCTGTGGGCTCTGACAGCGACCTGGTCATCTGGGATCCAGATGCTGTGAAGATTGTCTCTGCCAAGAACCACCAGTCGGTGAGGCACGGGCTGGTGGGATGGAGAACATGTATTGAGCTGACTCAGAGGAATCAGCTCATAGGGTGGGCCAGTCTCAGAGACTAGGATGGACTGCAATAGTAATCTAGCCCTGAAGAGCTTTTGTTTTGTCTGTGTGTGCTTTGTCGTTCAAGCAAGGTCTCCTGCTCAAGTAGGCTTCGAATTTGAATTGCTGACAACCCTACCTTTTCCTCCCTGCTGCTGGTATAGGAGGCATGTACTCCCAAGTATAGTTTGCCTTGAGTTTTATAGGCACAAGAAAACCTTCAATGGTTTATTTCTTTCTCCTGCTTTCCTGAGTGAAGCAGTCAGCAGAGGAAATCTGTCCTTCCTGGACATTCAGGGTTGGGCGCATAGAGAGGAAGTTCTTCTCTGCATGCTTCCAAGATGGCAGAGGCTCAGACAGACTTTATGTTTTGAATGAAAAGAAAGTTACATGTCTTCATTATTCCTTCAGTTCTCCTAAAAGACTGAAACCCGAATCTAATACCTTAAAGAAATACTTAGTACTTAGTAGTAAACACAATTTATGAAGAGGCCTTGCTTTCTCTTCCGTGAATCTTATGAACAGTGAGTACATTTGGGTGGGTACTGTTAACTTATTTTTGCTTAATTTCTAGAGATACATAGAAAGTAAATAATTTATGTAGCTGGTGGTGGAGCTGACATTCGAATCCTAGAACCAAGTTAGTACCCCCAACCCTCCTGCAGTGCTATCTTCCTACTGAACAAGTGAGGGATATAGGTAGAAATCCAATTTTGGAGAATAATGACCTTTGCTTAGACACCAACTCACTGGGCGGGGCCACAGGGCCATGTGTCACTCCAAGCATCTCTCAGCATGGGCCCCATATGCAGCAGCATCCCTGGGGGGCTCGTAGCTGAGTTTGGAATACAGCCAGCAGTGGAAATAAAATTTCAAAGATTAATACAAGTGAGGCACTTGGCTTTACTTGAGGCATCTTTATCCAGGCTGTGTCAGTCCCCTGTTCCTTATCAAATCAGGGAGGTGTGTCCCAAGCTTTGCCTGGCTTTACCTGGTGACTCAATTCATAGAGATACTGAAGGCCGGGTCCAAAACACAGATCACCCCATTCCTCTTTCTTTTCATCCTATACCTACGGTCTGGCTTTGTCTTCATGTCTGAATCCAGGTTGCAGAATACAACATCTTTGAAGGGATGGAGCTGCGTGGGGCACCTCTGGTGGTCATTTGCCAGGGCAAGATCATGCTGGAAGACGGCAATCTTCATGTGACCCAGGGGGCTGGCCGCTTCATTCCGTGCAGCCCATTCTCTGACTACGTCTACAAGCGCATTAAAGCCAGGAGGAAGGTGAGTGCCACCGAGGCCTAGGGGTTAGGAAGGGCGTGGGGTCCCACTCGGTCCCTGGGATGAGAGGACCAGCCTTCTTAACCCTCACAGCAAAGCCCCAGCAGCACTTTGGTGCTGAGGAAATGGTTCACAGAACTCGCAGGCTACGAGGAAGACTTCTAAAAGTGTTTCGGCCAAAGCAAATTTTTGTTTCCCTGAATAATTTCTTCACATTGCTATAGTACTTTAGTTTAAAATTGGAAGGATTCGATGTAATGACAGTATATTTTCATAGAAAAATTATTCCCAAAGGCTTAAAACTAGGACAAGTTGATGTCCAGCCATCTCTCTTCCAGTCTGCCCAAGGTTGCTCCCTTAGAAAAATTGCCCACCATCCTCTCATCCTCTCTCCCTTTCTCTCCCCCCCCATACTCTCTTTATCTCTCTCTCTCACACATACATATACACACAAACACACACACACACACACACACACACACACACACACATAGTAGTTTGGGTTGATATAGAGATAGGGCAATTCTTTTTCAGAGTCCCTTTACTCCCTCTCCAGCTTCCCACCATTCTTAGAACTTGCCTCCACAAAGCAAAGTCAGGCCAGGCCCTTAGACTGAGATGGAGGTGTGGAGCTGTGAGCTCCCTACTCAAGTTTTGTCATACTAGAAAAGGGACTAAAAGTCAAACTTCCCCATTAGACACTTCTTATTACGACTTAGATTCTGGGACCAGAGAAATCCACAGCTGTAGTATTACTGGGTGGGGAGTACTGACGCATTTATCGCCCCATGAGGGACAGCTGCACTGTGCCCAGGTTACTGCACAGAAGGCAGGGCTGGGGCTCCATAGAGGTCTCATCCTGGCCCACCTTCACTGCAGGCTCATGGGATGCGTGTCCCCACTGCCACACTACAGCCAGCGGTGTGATGGAGCCCGCATGCGGGCCCTGCTCCCACCTTGGGTGGTCTCACCATATTAGTCTCATAGATCATAAATGCCTCTGGGGGACACAGCATGATTCATAAAGCTATAAACCAGCTCCTGGCATAAGCCCAGCACGGAACACATAGTTGATTGATACTGCTCACTGGCTGCACAGCCCCCTGGCAAGTTCACAGCCAAAGGGCAGTGGGTCAGACGCCCAGTGTAGGGCTTCCCAGCCCTGGCATGCGAAAGGCTCTGAAAAGTCAATGGTGGGCCTCCCATGGGATCTCACGCCGGCAGTGTGCGTGGCCTCATCTAAGATGCCTGTCCTTCCTGCTGGCTCTTCTCCAGCTGTCCTGACAGCACAGTTCCGCTCCATCGTGTTCCCTCTTCCAGCCTTGCTCCTTCCTCTGCTGCCTCCACTGCCATCTACACCAGAGCTTCGCAGATGCTCAGCCATTTCCCTCCCGCAAGCCCAATAACATCAGAGGGTTGTTTGATTCTAGAACACCAGTGTTTCTCTACCTGGGAGTTGCATGCCCTTTTCACAGGGGTTGCCTAAGGCCGTTGGAAAATACATATTTACATTGTGGTTCCTAGCAGCAGCAAAATTGCAGTTATGAAGTAGCAGTGAAAATGATTTTCTGGCTGGGGGTCACCACACCATGAGAAGCTGTGTTAAAGGGTCACAGCATCAGGAAGGCTGAGAACCACTGGTCCAGATGGAATCCCACGTCTACAGACGCCTTTGTGGATGATACCCACCTTGTTTCTTGTGGGGATGTCTCTTCCTTCACATCCCTTTCTGGGGTTTTTTCCTGGATTCCTCTCCACATACTCTTTTCACTGATACATTTACACCTCCCAGAGCACACACTATACTGGGAATCACTGAATGTAAGAATGCCTTGTGACATGTTTCTCTGGCGGCAGATGGCAGACCTGCATGCAGTTCCAAGGGGCATGTATGATGGACCAGTTTTTGACTTGACCACCACCCCCAAGGGGGGCACCCCAGCTGGCTCTACTCGGGGCTCTCCCACTCGGCCGAACCCACCCGTGAGGAACCTCCATCAGTCGGGATTTAGCCTGTCAGGTGAGTAGGATGAGCTGCTGAAGAGAGGAAAGGAGGAGAGAGGAGAAAAGACCAGCATCCCTTGACTACAAACTCATGTAAACTCAAGTAAAATGTGTTTCCCAGCCCAGCGCTGGTGTCCTCTGCAGGGAGATGATCAGTGTTGAGAACAGAAAAGTTTTCCTAATCAGCAGGTGGTCCTGGTAAGAAAGTCAAACAAGGCATAGTCAAGTTTGAGGTCAAGTTCAAATGATAGCATATTCTACTTAGAGATCAGACCTAACTGGGGGCAGGTCAATGGATTTCCCACCATGAATTGCTAACGGTCTTCTGTATAAGTGTATGAGAGCTATGGTGAGTGTGTGTGTGTGTGTGTGAGAGAGAGAGAGAGAGAGAGAGAGAGAGAGAGAGTTCAAATCTCAGTGTGCATTAAGCTTAGAATAGTTTCTCTGTTCCTTAGCAGTAGTGTCTCAGAGCCTAATTCCCCTCCGTAGTAAAAATGATGCCAGCAGCAGCATCCACTGACTGATCTGTACCTTGTGTTTCCCACATTACCGATCCCATCTATTCTCCAAGAACTCTTTACCACGGAGAACGGTTGTTTTAATTGCTCCATAGTTGTCCTTGAATGGGGGGAGGTAACTGCAGCTGTGCTTCCCCATGACAGAGAATGTACATGTGAGGGGACATATCTAAATACATATTTGAAGGGGAGGCGACAGCATACACAGAAAGGAATGCAAAGAGGGGAGGGACTAGAGACCATGGAGGAAAGGATGTAGAACTAAGGAAAAACAGAAAAGGGTTCAACTTTTTGACATAACTTTTCCAAGCAATTGAGGTACCTACTGTTCCCAAGTAGTCTGGAGAGTGTGTTCACCTTTGTCTGTGGCTTTATGGCCACATATGTCCTTAAACATTCAGCAGCTCCTTTCTGAATGGAACCAAGCACACATTAGCACTTCAAGTTGCATGAACAGGGAACCTTGACCCTCCAACTTGGAGGCCTTGGACAGGTGACCTCCCCTCTCCTGAATCTCTCTGTCATGGAACAATGAAATATTTTTCTCCCAAGCCGCAGTAGTGAGGATGCAGTGGAGTAATCCATGGGCTTTAACGCATGGCCAGCCATGGTCAGCATAAGCAGCCACCCCCATGTTCTTGCTAATAGTATCGACGTGTGCAGCACCAGATGAATTCTAGAGGGGAAATGTGGATTTCCCTATGAAAACAGTATGAATATTCAAAGTTCAAGATTTGGTGTTAAGTTTCTTGTGCACCAGGAAAGTTCTTAATATCATTCACTCTTAAAGTTACTCACCATCTTTTTACCTACCCTTGTTTCTCCCTGGCAATTTGTCTGCAGGCACCCAAGTGGATGAGGGTGTCCGCTCAGCCAGCAAGCGCATCGTGGCGCCGCCTGGAGGCCGTTCTAATATCACATCCCTGAGTTAAGCAAGCCCTCCCAACCAGGGAGGCAGAAGCAACAAGAGATTTTTCGAAGCCAAAATGGTACACCAATATTTAAGAAGGAAAGTGAATCCAAACAGTTGCCATCTAAAGAATCAATAAGCCTCAAGCCTTATGTTTCCCAATGTTATGCTCGCTTGCCTAGCTCTATGGATTGCTTTGATTTCTGTTTATGCATAACCTTGATTTCTTTGACCCCCCCCCACTTACATGCATGCGATCAGACAGGCCACTAAGGTAGAGTCTGCATATTATAGTGTTGAGGGCGTATGTAGCGCTGCATCTTAATGACGAGGGGACAGACGAAGCTGGGACATCAAGAAACTTAACAAAAGGCAGGAAGGTTTCTTTGGGTGACTGGGTGGTGGGAGCCCAGGGCAAGGTGGAGGGCACAAAGAGGCTGGAGTAGGGTGTGTAGGAGGGGGGTTGGGCTGGATGAGCAGATGGGCACTGTGTCTTGTGTCGATGATGCACGCTAATTTCCATGGAAAATGGCCTCGTGGCAGCTGGATGCCCCATCACCGTCCCCTGGGATCTGCGGAGAAGGCAGGAGGTCTTTGGGTTTGGACTTTGTCCTTTCCTAGTAGATTCTGTTTCTTTCATTGTTTGTCACATGTCAGAATCCAGCCAGTTCTTCCGCCTGTTCAACGATACGGAGTTCGCTTGGGCCCCTTTCTCGTGTTGCTTTCTAATCCACTTTTCTGGCTTGTGAGGGCCACACAGCAGAACGCATGGCGCGGTCTCTCCTTCTTCCTTGGTGTTCGTCTGAGGCTGCCATGGAGGGCGCAGCACAGAGCAGTGACGTTTCCACGCCCTTCCTGTCAGGCCGGTGGAGGCAGCTCTCACTCTCCCACCCGCAAACGGAGGAGACGCTCGTGACTGCTGAGTTAAGCGTGATGTGATTGGCTATCTCTTGATCTTCTCACATCCAAACACATTTGAGATTTGACCTTTTCTTTTCAACTTTTTGGAAAACTGACTTTCTCAGTTCTTTTTTTGTTTGTTTGTTTTGTTTTTCGAGACAAGGTTTCTCTGTGTAGCTTTGTAGACCAGCCTGGCCTCCAACTAACAGAGATCTGCCTGCCTCTGCTTCCCGAGTGCTGGGATTAAAAGTGTGCACCACCACCACCCGGCTTCTCAGTTGTTCTTAATCTTGTCCCCTGATAGTAACCTTAGCTTCTATGGGAGTAAAACAGAGATTTAGGGAAGCCAGCCTTGAGTAGCAGGAGTATACTATATATATAAAACCGTATTTTCAGTTCTACGCCATGTGTTCCCTCTTCTGCTGGCAGGTCCCAGGGGTGGGCATGTCACTTTTTAATTGGTACTAAAATCTCCAGGGTGAGATGTATGAAGTGACACAATGTACCCTTTTTGGCATGGCACATAAGGGGAGTAGGCAGCAATGTTTGCACCCCCTTTGTCTACCGGAGTGGGAAGTCCTTGTCCCTGTCACTCTATTTCCAAAACCAGTTGTGAACCACATTCTATGAGCAAGGCAGGGGTCTGGAGAAAGCTGTAGGCTCTCCTGCAAGTAACATGCTGTGGCCTTGGCTCAGACTTCAACACTCTGGAGGCCCTCTTGCTAAGAAATACCACACTGTGTATCAAGTACTCGGAAGATCAGAGCAGGGCTCACACACATTCTAAATACTTAGGAGAAATCGCTATCTCTGCCTGCTGGTGTTTTTCTGTCTCTTTTGTGTCTTTGGAGGTGGAGGATTTTTGTTCATTTTGTTTTGTGGAACTGGACGGTGCAGTCTGGGGCCTGTCACCTGCTAGGCAAGCATCCTGCCACTGGCTACCCATCCACAGGACCGCCGGCCCTTACTGCAGGTTGTAATGAAACAGAGAGGCGGAGAGACATTAACTGTTTGGCTGTGAAGGGATTTGGAAACAGCAGAGGAAGTGGGTTTCTCTGAGCACGCTGGTCTCTCTTGCAGTCATGGAAAAGTCTCTTTGAACTTCTCAATAGGGAATCTTGCTGTTTAGAGCTCTCATGGTGCTTTTATTCTAACGGAAACTTCAGCAGAAGAAAATGAGGGGAGTGTAGTCTTGAATTACAATCCGAAGATTCGGGGATTTCTCCAGGAAATTCAGAATGACTTTTAATAGGGAGTTTTCCAGATCTGAAGCTTGTATAACATATACCTCAATAGCCAGGCTTGGCTGCAGCATAGGTTGTAGTACCATCAGTAGCCACCAGATGGAGGAAGAGACATGTAAATTAACTAATTCTGGGCCACCACCACTGTGTGGTTTCCCATGCCTGAGACCGACTAACTGGTCCCTCCAGGGCTTCCCTAGTCATGAAAAATACCCTTCTCTAGGTCATCTGCACTGCAGTTGGGACTTCCAAAATATGCCACCTTGCGAAACTTGGTTCCGCTCAAGCACTCCCTGTGTGCGGTGTGGCACAGAAATTCCTGAGACAACGCCCCCACTATTTTCTTAACATGAGAATTTTCTAAGCAACATGTTACTTGAGTTAAAATATTATATTGACATTGGTTCTGCTCCATAGATACATCAGACAGGCCCTGTCACTGAGTTTTGGAAAGGAAAATGACAAGGAGTGATGACTTCCTCCACTGGCATCCCATCCAAGGGTGGGAGGGCATGTTGGGTGCTCAGTTCTCTCAAGAAGCTTTGTAATCTGGGTTTTACATCTAGCCCCCTCTGAGAATACCATGTAATCTCCAAACTCGTTGTTTCTAAGCCCGATGGCAATCTGTTGACATTCATACTGAAAGGACCACAGGCTTGAGTGGTTGGGACTACTGTTGTAGAGCAAGTAAATCAGCTTCCCCAGTGGAGATATTTTTTTACTCCTAAGATAATTTTGAAACTAATAGAATTATAGTCATTCTCCAAAATAGCCTTTCCCCTGTTCAAAGTCCAGTGGTTCTTTGGGTCATTTCTTCCTGACGATACTCAGAGGTCTCATCACATCTCCCAAGGCCTGAATCCAAGCTCTGGCCTCCATTCTGCTCATCCTTCCAAGTCCCTTCCAAGAAGCCAATGTGTCCCAACTTTGATTCCTGCCCCGAGCCCCCAGATCTTCTCTCCCAGACAGCCCAGCTTGTGCCCTGATGCAGTCGTGGGCTGGCCTAGGCAGCCAGTCTTCCTCGTAATTCCCCTTTGAGACATGGTGTGTGGGTGTTCAGTTCTGTGTCTGGTGGCTATGGACAGACAGTGCGTCTCCTTGTGACCTGTGTAGCTGTGAGGCAGCTCAGAAATTGAAGAGCTGTTTGGTTTAAACCGTGAAGAAAACTGTGTATCGAGTTAGCTGAGATTAAAGAGAAAAAAAAAGCTCATCAAGTGACTGTTAATGTAAACCTGGTTATTAAAATAATTATAAAATTACCAACATCGTTCTCCAGTCTTTTGTGTATGCAATACTATTTCACCTACTACGTTGAAACTCTGGGAGACTGCAGAAATTATTCAGTGAGTAAGAGTGCTTGTTGTGTTAGGAACAAGGACCTGAGTTCCAATCCCAGCAGCCACATAAAAGCCAGGTATGTCACCATGTGCTTGGGGTAGGACACAGACAGGAGTATATGAGCTACCTAACTCCAGGTTCAGTGAGAGACCTTGTTTCCACGGGAGAAAGTGATAAACCAGGACAGCTGATGACCTCCCCTGGCCTCCAGGATATGCACATAGATGCACAGCCATGCATAAATGTACACATTTAACGCAGGAACACACACCTATACACACACACACCACATAAAAACACACACATAGTGAAGAAAAAGAGCCCCCATAATACCATTTAGTTGGGAGATAAACAGCAGACCCGATGACAACAGAGGTAACTGCAAACAGTTTTCCTTGAGATTGAGCCATTGGTCATTGACCTGACAATAGCAGTTGCAACTTCGTGGAATAGTAAAGATTTCCGTTAAACAACCACACCCATTATTAGTGTAAAAACATACAATGGGGATAAATCTGGCTGACTCTAAGACAGAACTCTAAAAGGTTGCATTGTACTTTCATGTGTTTCTATCTTCAGCAAACCCCGGTTATTATACTGTTTTGTAAACATGACCTACTTATTTCCCAAAGCGTAGACTTGGAGGGAAAACTCCCAAGTAAATCCACACTATTTTATACTTCAGCAAGCTGATCTCAGAGAGCCCAGTGAGTGTGAAAAGCTGTTGGCTGTGCCCACTCTTGTGAGAGCTTCCCTGTGAGTTAGAAAGTCAGAGGTTCTGATTAGTATAATGAGTCTTTAAATGTCCAGGCTCAGGGGTACAGCTTGGAGTGGAGCATTTATTTCGCTAGCAGGCAGATGGCCCTCAGATCCCTAGCACTGTGTAAACAAAAACAAACAAAAACCCACAACAAGGAAATCAAAGTCCAATTCGGGGTTCTGAGATCATTTTGCCTCCTGGACCTCCATGACATTTCTCCCTGTGTTGGGAAACATCCCTGGATAGAGCTCCCATTTACATAGGGCATTCAGTGGTGAGGTTTCCACTGGCACATGGGTGGGGCTGGAAGAGAGTTTTAGGATGCCCAAAGAGCTAACTGTAAGTGGTGAACCCCAACAGCTTTCTGTCTCACCCCAGCCTCCCTCAAGAGGTGCTTCTGCCTCGGTGAAGCTCATTCCTTGTAGAGGCAAAACCAGTCATTGACATCTCTAGGTTTCATCTTTCCTTCTCAGTGAACCCAGAGGAGAGATTCCCCTCTGTATTCTCAGTCAAAGAGGATACCTTTGACTGGTGGAACATGTCTTCCTTCTCATGACTGAGGAGCAGCTGAGCCTGCTGTAAGATTTCAGTGGCTTTCAAAGGGGCCATCAGCACTTACACTGACCTTAGCTGGGATGCAGTGTTCTGGGGAGGATGAAACAGTTTTTTAAACACTGATGACAGACATACCTATGGAGTCTGGAAGTGTCTGGGAGTTGATTCACACTTGACCAGGTCAGGAATGAGAACACTGAGCAGGGGTGAGAATAACAAGGACATTCTGGTTCCAAAGAACTTTCAAGAATCAGCTCTCCTAAACACCAAGCAATCCCAGAGAGGACAAAAACTGCAGAAGAGGATGGAAAATAAGGGGACCAGAGCAACCTGCAAAATGAGATCACTTCTATGCATAAGGCTGGCCCTCTTCAGAATCCAGAGTGCTGGGTCCTGAACTTTGCTCACTCGGCTGGCTACTGCGAAGAACATACAGGACACTCAGCATGGCCTGAGCAGTGGGGCAGCAGAATTGCAGGACTTCGGAGCCCACAGAAGCCCAGGAGTTTGTGGCTGACTGACTATGGAGCTATTGTGAGGCTGTGAGTTAGCCCTGCATTCCCAAGGAACCTGCTGTCCTTCTATCTCAGATTATGAGCCTTGGAATAACCACCTGTGGCTATGGTGTAAGGAAAGAAACAAACCCTGAGGGGCGGAGAAGATCTCAAAAGAGACTTAGAGGTTGCCCGTAAACCCGAGGTCACAGTAAAAGGCAGAAGGCAGGATTGTGGTGGCACTTCCCAGTGTGCCCACTAAAATGTGCAGGCACAGATCTGCAGCACTATCCCTGCTAAAGGCACCGTTCTTCTCAATGGCAGTGGAAGTAAGAGCAGGTGACCTGGGGTGGCCAATCACACACACACACACACACACACACACACACACACACACACACACACACACACACAGCTGACAAAGGAAGGCCCAGGGCGTAGTGTTACAGACGATGTTTTAATCCATGCAGACACAGTTACATCACGTATGCTATGGAGAGACAGAAGCACACTTTTTTTTTTAATTTGGGGGTTTCTACATCAGGCACTGGGTCAGCACAGCACAGAAGACTGAAATTTGGAGTCTCGGTGTCTCACATTAGACAGACACGCTGAACTCACAGCGAACAGCAGTCACAGGCGGACAGAAGCAGGAGACGGATTTTGTGAGGACAGAACACAGGAACACGGGGGAGCTGAGCAAAGTGCTTGCCACGCCTATCCACGGAGCAACTGAGGCGTTGAAGCGTAGCATCCCTGACAACCTCAGACAGCAACACTCCTTGTCCTAGCTTGCTATTCACACACCCACTAGGAAAGCCACAGCGACAGGAAGTCTAGTCATTCCTGGATTTCCACTAATTAATGATTAGATTACTGTGATTGCTGCTCCAGATTCATTGTTGTCCTAGAGATGATCTCTACTAACACCGGGGCTGCTGTGGGGCCATTGGCTCTTAGCAGGTGCTTCCTTCCAGGGAGTGGGGATCATAGCCAGGCTTGCTCCATAGGTAAGGCTGTCCCACCTCTCCACTCTGGGCCGCTGGGAATGCCCAGGAGATGGCAGCTGTCTGCAGTGCAGGAAGTGGTGTCACAGCCCGGGCACTCAGGTTTTCAAACCCTGCTCAGGCCTTCAGATGCTCTGTGTGTTAGAGGAGGAAACTGCTGGGAGAGATTCTGCAAGTGGCAGAAAAAAAGGATGGAGTAGTCACACCGTTTTCTGAAGTCCTCAGCCCTAATTCTTCTCAGAAGTATAATCGCGTTTCATTGGGGTGGGGTGCCAGCATTTAGCTCAAACTGGGGAGTAAAACTAAGAAGCAGTCACCAGGAACATTTGGGAAGGTTTTGTTTTTGTTTTTTGTTTTTTTTTTTCGAGGCAGGGTTTCTCTGTATTGTTTTGGAGGTTGTCCTGGAACTCAAAGAAATCCACCTGCCTCTGCCTCCCAAGTGCTGGGATTAAAGGCGTGCGCCACCAACGCCTGGTTGTTTTTGTGGTTTTTAAATCTCTATAATATTCAGCAGTGAGCAGTGCCCAGAATCAGCTATTCTTCCCAGCCAGATGCCGATTCTGTTTCTCCTGGTGTTGGGGATGTAACCCAGGCCATCATGCATCCTTAGCACATGTTCTATGGCTGAGGTATAGACCCAGCAATGTAACACACTGCGTGCCATCCGTCTGACCGGCACGACAACTCCCAACTCCCGCACTGCACTACAACCAGCACCTCCTGGGTTCTGAAAGCCGGCGGTACAAGATACTCTGTGGGAATACGAGCTACGAATTCAAGCTCCAGAGACCTTCTGGGTTCCTATCACCACCTTAATGTCTAACGATGCAAAGCAGTCCTCATCATCTCGGTGGAGACCTGCTGTCCCTGCTGTCCTTGGGGAATCACTTCTGAAAGCTGCTGTCCTGGATGATGCCAACAAGACCCGGGAGGAGGAGGAGCCAGGAGAGGGAAGGCGGAAGCATAGCACGTCAGGCCCTCAATGCGGACAAGAGGTGGAAGCTGGGGCATGCATGTGGTCCCGGACACTTGTCGAGGTTGCCAGCCTGGAGCGCAATTCAGTCACCTCAATGATGCTATGCTTGACCCATTCACCTCCCTGAATTATCAAAGGGCAAGGGCTTTGAATTAAACAGTGACTAAACACAACCAAAACATCACAAATAACACGTGAGAACGTCAGAGATACAAGTTGGATAGAGGAGGTGGTTTTTGGTTCTTTAAAAAAATATAATATAGTTGCTCTTAGTAGAGAGGCACTGTAACATAGCCATGACAGAAATTCTGGAGAACCGTAAATGCTGGTCTTACGTTCAGCTCCTGGTTTGTTTTTTTTTTTTTTTTTACACAAACTTAGTTGCTAACATCAATTTTCATCTGTCTGCCTTCCCCAAATGACTTCGATCAGGTCACTTGGGCCAGCCTGCTGTCACCATTGTGACCACTAGATGGCCTCAGTTACAAGGAATTGAGAACAATGCTCTGTAAAGCCCACCTACTTCTTGATTCTGCTTGGTGTCACCAGGGGGGCACCCAAAATGGTTCTTCTAAGATCTCATTTGCATCAGCACAGTGGGGCTACATCACACGCACGCACCACACTTACATGAATTACAGTTTTCACACAAGTGAAGTATAAAGGCAGGGAAGAGTGAGACATCAGTAGTATTTTAAGCAGCTGGGCAATTCTCTCACAGTGAGTGTAATGTGGGGGCATCTGTCTCCCTGAATTTGACCTCTTCCATCTGTAAGCCTCCTGTTGCTTCAAGTGTAATTCTAATCTGTGTAAATCGTCCCGGATTTTACTTGGCTATTATGAAAAATAAAGGACAAAACAAAAGGTGATATATTTCATGACAGAAAAGCAAAGGCTAAGTTTTCCTTCCCCTGTGCTACGCGGAGTTAGGGGTTGCTCAAGGGAAAGTTTCTCCAACTTCCTGATTTAAGATGCAAGACAACTCTCCTGTAAGGTATAACTTCCCTGAACGGTTGAAAGCATCCCTGCCTACATCGGAGCAGTGTCCTCTGACCCTCTCCTGAGGAAAATTAGCCCTCGAGGGGCAGGCATACCAGTGAATAGCAAGTGGAGTCCAGTATTTTACAACTGCCATGTTGAAAGTCTCACGGATGGCAGCATTTTCCAAACTTCTGCATATGAGACTCCTTCTGTCAGTTCCGTTCAGTTGACCAAGGCCCTGTCACTGAAGGGAAGTTGAGAGGCTGAGGCACAGTAGGGCCTTGTTGACAGACACCAAGCCAACATAGCACCCCACTGCGAGGTCCTATGAGTCTTCGTTACTCCTAATCTGACCTATGTATTTATTCCATCTGGAATAGTCTATTCCTGTCTAACCAGGCCTTGGAATTCTGGTCCCTGTATGATATTCTCTAGCCCTGAAGAGGTTCACTGTATACAGTGTCCATATTCACATGCCATCAAAAAGAATGAAAAAAATAAGCCTACTTTCAAATGTTCATTCAACAGTGAAAATAAAGGCTGTCTAGAACAACTGTGGCATTACAGACTGAAGGCCAGCTCCTCCGGAAGGGCCCTCCACCTTCAGAGCAGTGAACTGAGACAGAGGGAGGAGTTCAGTGATTTGCTTAAGGTCGCAGAGTCAATGAGTGGCGAAGTCAGATCAGAGGAGCCCAGAACCAGCAGAGTGTGGCCACCTCGGAAGGGAATTCATTCACATTTTCTACTTCACGAGGTGTGGTGCAGTAAGGGCTGCGGTTGCTGCTTCTGGAGGTGATAATCAGAAGTTTCTGGCCAGGTGCCGGGAAGTGTCCCCCGAAGGTGACAAAGCATCATAGGTTGTTATTCTGGCCATCCTCCTCTTCTGTGCTGGTTTTGGATTGTTCCAAGGGCACACTTGCTTGTCTTTGATTAAAGTCTCTTTTTACTCTTGAGGGGGAAGGGGAGGGAGAGGGAGAGGGAGAGAGAGAGAGAAAGAAAGAAAGAGCGAGAGAGAATTGTTCATTCAAAGGAAAATGAATTTAAATTTCTGAAATGGCAGCATATAATCCAATAATTTTTGATTCCTTTAAAATACAATTAAAATATAATTATATAATTTCTCACCATCTTTCCTCCCTTCCAACCCTCTTAAGCCTGACTCAACCCCCTCCCAAATTCACTGCCTCCTCCTCTTTAACCATTGCTGTAATAAATATATAAATACAACCTTCTGAGTCCATTCAGTGTTGCTTCAATTTATAAAGATGTATGAATGAAGACAACACTTTAAAAAAAACACTGTTGGGCTGGCAAGATGGCTCAGTGGGTAGAGGGACTTACCAATGGACCTGATATCCTGAGTTTAATCCCTAGGACCCACAGGTTGGAAGGAGAGAAATGACTCCTGAAATTTGTTCAATGACTACCCCTGTCCTCCAAAATGTTAAAATAGGCAAAACTATGACACTAGGGTTATTTATCAGCTAAAAAACACTGACAGAAAAAGGCTTCAGGAAATTTCAAAAATTTTATCCTAGATTTACATCATTTATATAATCAGTAAAATAACTCTTAAGAATATATCAAATCTCAGCAAATGAAATCTGCTCAAATGGAATCATTTTAAGCTGCTGGTCTCCACCTCACCATTACTCACTTTTCTCTGTTGAAAATGATAAATTCCTTCTGAACAGCATCCAGGTGCTCTTGGAGAAGACACGTCTTCAAGGTGAACATAACAAAGAAACAGAGGCATGCTTAGCTGACACATAGAGACCTCAAATACCAATAAACGTATACTCGGTGAGCATCCTGGATAGAAAAAGTCCTGCATCCAGATGGGAGTAGACTCTGGGAGAGTGATAGGAGGGGAATCCCTCTACCAGGCCCATTGTTCTATCAGAATCATCAGAATCAGCTACAATGACTTTGGAACTCTGGAATATATATATATATATGTATATATATATATTATGTGTATATTATATATTTTTTCAGCTTCTATCCAAAAGTGCAGGTTAGTTACAGTTTAACTGCTGATACAGTAGCAGTTAACCCATCCTCCATGTCCCTGTCAGGGAGTCCTGCACATGCCCCTTCAGCAGCCTATACCATACCTTTCAGAAGACATAATGGGAAATTAAGATGATGTCCTCCAAATCCCGGGACCTGTGTTCTGGATGCTGTTTGGAATCAAGGAGGTGCAGACAGCCCAGCGGCCATCAGCTATGCCTCCTTCATGGCCATAAACCCTCAACGTGGGGCAAAAGCCTGCTTCTGAGATGACCTCCCCACTGCGGCTCTGGAATGAACCACACTTCCCTGAGCTTGGTGAGAAACCCACCTACCTGAGAGGAGTCACATTTTCTCATCTCCTTCTCCTTTTTTGCCAGGCGCTTCTTTTTCTTATGAAGAGGTTTGGACTCCAAAATCATTTCTTCGAGTTCAAACGTGGGGTCACAATTGAGCCTGCCTTTCTGTAAATAGGAAACATGACTCAGGCCTCAGATGCTTGCATCATTCCTAACACAGAGAATAATACTTAGTCCTAATGGGAGCGATCCAAGCACAATAACTTGGGCCCCTACTGAGGTTTTATAGCATTTACTGCCAGCATTGTCTTTTACATTCTCTGATTGTATAATTTATCATGTTTACAAACTTCTAACTATCCCTCAGTGAGAAATGAAGGAGATAATGTTAAAATAATGTCCCTAAGGGTTGATCTTCTGGGCTTTTCAGTTTGTTCCAATAACCACATAGATCAGAGTCATGGCCGTTGCTTGTTCAGCTCCCAAGATCACCAACCAAATTTCAGAGTCAGGATTTCTGAACATGAGGCCAAGAATTCATCACTTGGCAAGTTATCCACATGAGTCTGAGTTTCTATAAGGTGGAGCTTCTCACAGGAGCCAGGAGTGGCTAACAGAAGGAAGTCCATATCTGCAGCAGGTGGTACCCAGGGTCTGCCGTAGTCACACATCAGCCATGCCCCCAAGTACAAATCTCTCCCTACTTTCCTGTCACTCACTAAGCAGACGCTTACACCCTCAGATGCCACCACACCACTCTCTCCTTCCTTCTGCGGGGCTGTCACTTGGCACACAAGTGAGCACCTTATCCAGCTATTCACTGAAACACGCATGTGCTCGTGCCTCACTTGGACGTGAACAGAAAACCCATGTCTCCGCAGGAGTCCACCATTCCTGCCAATGTTCCCCTGTCTTGTGGTATACCTCACATCCCAGGCAGAGAGGAGAGAGGAACCTGAGCAGGGCCTCAACCTGAGCTTTATCCAGCAGTGTACACTGGGACTCAATGTCCCTCGTTTGGGTATTCACCCAAAGCAAGTTATCTCTCAGTCATTATTAGTTCCTAAAACTGTAGATCGGCACAATAAAACCTACAAAAGAAGAGGAATAATCCTGGGGAGTGAAGTTTCCCACTAACTCACAGATTTCCATGGACATCAAAGATTACTTCCTTGCAAGAAGAAAAAAAAAAGTCACTCCTTTCAAGCTGTACATATCTAGAAAAAAACTCCTTGGGAGACTGGCACCTCTTACAGTACAAAACACAGTTAAAAGGTGGAAGCCCAGACATCACATCCCTACACTGGAATCCCAGTTTAGCTTCTTACCAGTCATGTGACTTTTGGTGGCCATCTTGCCCTATGGGTCACTCTGTTTACTCCTCTGTAAAGCCAGTATTGGGGCATTTACACATTACTGGTGATCATCAAATGAGACCCTGCATGGACCCGTACACAGAGTAGTGTGGCCAGGGTGTGGGGAACACTAGGGCTAGTTAAGCTTGACTTACAGTTGGAACGAAGCCAGGAATGAGCCTCTTCTGTAGCACAGCATCCCAATTCATGTCACTCATGTAAGGGAAGTTCTGAATGTCAGTCAAGTGGGAAAACCGCTGGTCTGGATTAGGCTCAAGTAGCTGCCAATGAAATGCAAGCATCATTGTCACAAGGAAGGTCAGATACATGGACCCCAGAAATTCTCCCTAGGTGTTCTAAACTGAGTATCCAAGGGGAGTTCCTTGTAGCAGAAATTGAGCAAGTAGTTTGACAAGACAGTGATCTCCTCCTCCTACCAACATGCCAAACAAGTGGCGAATGTATGCTTTGGAATACCACCAGAAGTAGTGTTTGCAACATGATGCATGCAAGTGGCTTGTCCCAGAAGTTAAATAGAACTTCCCTTCCTTACTCTCCTACTGGGAAAGTTTGTTTTCTAAACCATGGCTTACCAAGCTCAAATCATGAAAAATAGTATCAAGTGCACATTGCTTTACAGATCTAAGACCTAAAGCTGTGTTTTACAATGACATAAAATGGCCAGCAATTCTTTTTTCTTTATATTGTTGCTTCAATCTATGACCCATTGAAGCCAATATGTGGTCATACTGTAGCTGGCTCACATGTAGCATCCAGACAATATATAACACATGACTTCAATTTAACAGTAGCCAAACAAGCTCATTCACTACCCAAAGAGACACATCCATTGACCACGTGACAGTGTATCACTGACAGAGCAATGTTAAAATGCTTCTCTTGGTTTCTATACTTGCAATGGAGTTGTAGAGAGCAATGTATACACAGACCAATATCAGTCAAAAAATCACACTAAGTTGTACTGATCTCAGGGAATGCACTAGAAGAGCTAAGTCATGAAGTGGTGATCCAGGAGGAGAGAGTGTCATGTGAAAAATCTGGTAGTGATATGATGGTGGAGAAGGCAAAACAGCCAAACCAACTAAAGCTTGAGAGACTTTGTAATGTGCAGTTTAGCTTGATCTTTATTCAAAAACCAGTGAGAAGTCGCTGAAATACGGGAAAGAGAACCAGAGAGAGTGGAGTGGCAGAAGCACACAACAAATCAGAAAGGACTTGGGAGAATTTAGAGAGAAGCCAAGGATATGAAGGGCCGTGAATGTGACAATGGCTATTGACATGTAAATTTAGAGCAGATGATGGACTAGATATAGAAATGATGAGTGAGTATCTGTGAAGGTACCAGCCACTGGGAAAGGGAACACTGGAAGAGATCCAAGAAATACAAGGAGATTAAGAATTATGTTTTTAACACGATGAGTTTGAGAAGGCCTTGAGACATCCAAAAGCACTTGTGGGTTGAACTAAGAAAGCCACATATTTGAAAATAATCACAGCAACAGTTCTACAAAGGGGTGTTACCCTGACCACATCTTGACTTCTAGCCATAAGCCAGGATGTACACTTCCTTTCTTGACTTCCTTCCAACATGCTTTCTCCTGTCTCACCTTTTTAAGAAGGGATACCATCTCTTGTGACCAAGCAGAAGGGTAAGTCACAATTGCCGTCTCAAACATGTTCACAATTTCCTTGCTGGGAGTACTGGAGCGGATATGATATGGTCTCTTAGGGGGAAAGAAGAGAAAGAGCCTTTATTTACAGGTCAGTGGGGGAGGGAAGCCTGCAAATATTTACAAGGTAAACTTTGAAATAATAAAATCTCAACAAGAACCCTTTCAAGATGATTGACAGGTAGCCATGAGGTACATGGTCAAGTCCTGTCAGAATTGCCATGGATTTTTAAAGAAATGTCATGGACTTTAGTTTTTCATCAAAAACAAGTTCTAAGAACTTGTTATTTTACAGATCCAAACAAAATATTTCAGTGGACTGAACCAGTCTCTGATGCACTGATTTCATCCAAACTGTTTTGTTCATAACTTTTAGCCATATTTATATAAAAAAGTGAATAATGAATAGAAAAACTTCAAATTATTATATAAGGTTGGTTACAAATAGATCATAATTTTCCCATAGCCTTATCTGAAATACAACAAAAAATAGGTATTGTGTCATATGCTTGTAATCCCAGAACTTGGGAGGCAGAGGTAGGAGGATCAGGAATTTAACTGGTCTCAGCTCCGTAAGTTCAAAACCAGGCTGGGCTACCTGAGAAAGAGATGCTTTTGAACAATCAAGCAAATAACAACAATATTAAACATAACAAAAAGGTTAAGCATAGAAAATTTCTTAGAAAATATCAACTCCAGTATCTAATACTCTGCTTCCATGAAGTATGTAGTACAGTATTTTATGCTGGAATAAAAAGTTAAACAAAGAAACAAAACCTTTTCTAGGACAATCATGGTCATCTATGGATTTAGTTTGAATACAATAAATTAAAAACCAAAATGAAATTAGTATGAAAATCTTATTTGGAAGCATGTTATTTCTAACCTACTCCAAAAATTAAAAAAAAAATTTTTTTAAATAAAAGAGCTAATGGTGATTTTACATCTGTACACTAGAGGGCAGACATTGTGGTTATTAACTGCTCTGCTGGGCTGGGCTTTCCTGTCTTCTAGGGAAACCATAAGCAACTTCAAGTCAGAGAGGTTACTATATGCACAGGACCAGGACTTCCACATCAGATTAATCACAGGACAGTTAATGTGTGTGTACACATTTAGCACATGATTGACCTTTCCCAGATGTTTAAGTGACCACTGATGGATGAACTAATTTGGAGGAAGGGGAAGTGTTTGTTTTTCCCAGGAGTCAATTAGAAGGTTTTGTAATGTAATCAAGTGTTAGAGTTGAGGTCAGAAGGCTTTGAACGCTAAACAGGTCATTAATCTTCTGACCCTCAGTTCCTTCATGGACAAGATGAAGCTACTTCATCAGCAAAATGAACCACTGCGAAGGGTGGCTATGGGGAATGAGAGTTGGCAATGCAGGGGAAGTTCTCTATGCAGTGACACGTGACTAGCTGACAACAGGATGGGATATATCAAAGAACCTTAAAATATGCTGTCAACCAAGAGGGAGAATACATAGCGAACGGGCATGTAGGAAACAAAGTGTTAGATGGGAGTAAATGGTGTCTTCTGGCTGTGTTTCAAGAGTTCAAAGGGGCCGGTGGGTAGATGGCACAAGCCTGTCGTGCCGTCCTGGAACTGGGGAAGCAGAGGAAGGAGGATGGAGAGCTTGAATTTAGCCTTGGCTACACAGTGACTCTGTTCCCCAAACAAAACACAAAGAGTTGCAGCTATGCTCAAACAATACAACAGAGGTAACTACCTGGAGCTACTTAAGGTTACTACAAAACTATGAAACACAGGAGGCACTTTTGCCTTCCAATGGCTGGGGCTGGGAGATGACTGAAGGTTAACGTTTAAGGTACAATCCACCCAAAGTGCAGCTAGGCTCGGAGGGGCTTTTAAAGCATATTTTAACTAGCACATTATTTTCTTTTTTCTATAGATAAGAGTTTGCAAACAGCAGGAAGTTATTGCTCAGCATACCTCCTGTATCTTCAGTTATGATGAAACTTGTAACTAAATGTTGTTATTTCATTTTCTTTCAATTAACTGTATTTTGCAACATAATCACATACCATCTTTTAATGATTCCTTACGAGAATGTGTCAAAACTGGTGTACAGTAATTTGTTCCTCTGCTTACTTAACACAAAATATATTGAAGAAAAATTGCACAGTGTGGGTGATATTAAACTATGTAAGATATATATCCCATTTTTAATAAATCAACAATCTGATCTCACAGAATAGAAAACATAAAAATTGATATGTCTAGTGATATTTGTAGGGTAAAATATTTACAAAATAGAGTTAGTCGTGAAAGAAAAATACATCACGTTATTATCATATAGAAAGTTTTATATTTATATATACATATGTATAAAATTATCTCAGCAGGGAGTTAAAGCATGATTCATTTTTGTCAAAATTGCTAAATATTTGTACATATAAACATCTGAAGAGGGCTTATCCACATGAAAATAGAAATATTTGGGAGTGACAGCAAAATGCTAGGGGGGCTTTGCTTTGTTTTGTTGGTCTGTTTGTTGTTGCAGATTTTGTTTTTGTTTGCTTTACTTTCCTATTTTAATTGTTTTTGAGTTATATAAATTCCCCCTCCATTTCCTCCTCCCAACCCCTCCATGTACTCCCCACTGCTAGCATAATCCCTAAATATTCATCCTCATACCTACAGCTAAGTATAGTACTCTAACCCCTCATCAAGGAAATTTCTCTTTGCAGCAGATAGAGACCATTATAGAAACCGCAACCAATCAGATGTCCATTCCCAACTGATACATCTACAAAACAACTCCTGCACTAAGAACCTAAAGATCATTATGTGAGAAGCATGGGTCCACCGGGCTACTTGTAGTAAAGCACAAAAGAAGAGAGGTGAGTTACAGATGAAAATTATTGAGCAAGAATGAAGCAGAAACTAAAAACTTGTAAGTTTGGACTCTATTCATAGTATATAATAATACAAACAAAACAAAAAAAAGAAGAAAAATTAAAAAGAACAAAATACAAGCTCATGGGGAGAAGACAGTGTTATTTTAAAGAGAACATAAAATATAAGACTAGGCAACTAATTGATAATTGAACCAGGGGTTTACAAGAAAAGTTAAAGTTGAAGGTGGGATTATGCCATCAGAGGGACTGTTGGTTGGAATTAACGGGCACAGACTGTGGCCTGGAATGAAGGAAAGGTGTCAGACAGCTAAACATCTTGTTCCATTTTGTGGTCAATGAGAACTAGTTGGACTCCTTTGCTTTGAACTTGGTACCCCTCTTTGTTTCTTATTTGTATCCTCTTGGGTGGCACTGTCTAACTGATGTCTGTTCCCATTGCTATATTTTGGAAGCACATGGTTTGTCTGGCTTCATAGGTTCTTAGCTAGATGGGAGTTCTTCCTTGGGATGAACCATGACCTAAGTCCCATCCACACAGGATTTGGATAAGATTCAGATGAGTCTTGGGACTCTAGAGATGATGCTAGGAGGAGAAAATGTTATTGCTAATGGAATATATTGGATATATTTTACATGTTAGGAGGAGGTAGGTTTTGGAGAGCCAAAAGACGAACACCATGGTCTAGATGTAACCCTCACACAGTCTAACCCTCAATGAGATGGCATTTGAAGACAGGAACGATGACAGGCAGAAGTTAAGACAGAGTATGTCCTAATGTCAGAGCCTTCATGTCTTCTCTTCATCCTTATCTTCTTCCTTTACCCACCTTCCTTTCTGTGTATTATAAGGACACCAGAACCCAGCATTTCTTACTCTCTGACTTGAACTTCCAACCTCTACCATCTGTAAGAAAATAAACATTCTAAGTTACCCAGTTCACAGTCTGCTATTTTGGTAGGCTGGACTAACTATGATACAACTTTGGGAGATACCTGAATTCCATATAAGTTTGTAAGGATTGTATCAAATATAATTTTTAGTATATTTCTCTGTACTTCTTGTGGGGAAGAGTTTCTTGTTTGAGAAATGTTTCCATTAACAAGGACACTGATTCAGTTTGCCAGGGGACTCATACTCAACAGTGACATCAGACAGGGGACCAGCAAGATAGAGCACAAGTTGTCTGCTGTCAATAATTCAGCCTTTTTTTTTTTTGGAGAGCTGTATCTTAATTAAATCTCTGTCCATGACTACAAAATGATTTTCTTTAAATATAGACGTCTATTTATTCAAGATAGTGAGGTGTATTGATTTCCCTTCACTAGGAGTTTTTGATATCCATATTATTAACCTATCTATGTAATTAACATTAACTGACAGATCTGGTGACACATATAGGACACCAAATTAATCTGTGCAGAGGCCTCAAGGGAGTGTGATTAATACCAGACGGTGTAGGTGTTTTCTGATTTCAAATAAAGTGCTTGGTTATTAGCAAATAATGAATTCTTTAATTTGGAAACAGCATCTGCATGGGCTGGGGAGATGGCTTAGTGGTTAAGTGACTGGGTGCTTGCAAATAGCCTGGGTGTGGTTCCCACCACCCACAACAGGTGGCTCACGGCACCTCTGCTCCACTTTCAGGGGATCCAATGCCCTCTCTTGGCCTCTGTGGGCACTGCACACATGTGGGGTACCTACACACACCCAGGCACACACACATATACATAAAGAAGCAGATCCTGAAAACATGTTTTCTAGAATAATGGAAAACGAGAACGTGTGGTTCAACTTTACCCGGCCTCTCAGCAGCTCATAAGCTGTCACCCCCAGGGACCACCAGTCGACAGCAAAGGAGTAGCCTGTTTCCTTCCTGGAGATGAACATCTCAGGTGCTGGAAAAGAGAAAAGGTCAGTGTCACTTCCTGTCAATCTGTTTTCCCAACACATTCCTCCTGCGAAGAATCAGCAGCCAGAAAGGTGTAAACACTTTCATGGATGTTTATTATTCATTGGTAGATTGCTCACAGCAGGCAACATTATCTAATTTTTTAGCTCTCTCCACAGTCCCGTTCATCAGCTAACATAAACAGACACACGCAGACCTTAGTGGGCAAATTCTTCTCTTCTTTAGAACCTATTACATTGTAGGTTCTATTGGGCCTCGGACGAGCCACTAACTCTGAGACGAAGAACGCTGAGGGGGACCCGCCGTCTTGATCTGGAAAGTCCATGCTGAAGGAGCTGAGTGGATATAGCAATCTCAAACAACGTTCAGAGATGTAGGAGACACCCATTGGCTTGGGAATACCCGGCTGCATCAAGGGAGAAAATGAATGTGGCCTCTGGTGTGTGATGGCAAGAGAAAGAGGAGAGAGGGCGCTCAAGGAAGTATAATACTTTGCAATAACCATGGGACATTTGTATTTTATAACTGTAGTTTTCTGAATTGACTCTACTGGGAAGCAGAGTCACATCAATTGAATGCTCCGAGATGACCCCTCGGGCTGTCTTTAAGCACTTTGTCTACACATTTCTAAGAAGATGCTTGCATCCTAATGGAGCATGAAGGGCAGAGCAAGGGCAGCTATGGTGCTGTTGCTCACCAGGCTACACACAGTGTCTAGCATAGAACCTGGCCCTCAACCGAGTCAGTAGTTAGAAACTTATCACACAGGTGAATGAACACAGAAGCCACCAGACTTGTGGTCATTATCTCTGTATCTGTGCTGGGTTCAAATGCTACCTCTACCACTTATGGTGCCCATGAGCAAACCAGTTGGCACAGCACCATTCCTGCCCAACCAAGATCAAAATATCAAAAAGAATTCTTTACAGTGTAGAAATTAAATGAATTAATGCATGTCCAAATGTCAACATAGTGTCAGGCATTTGCAAAAATGAAAACAAAGAAACAGAAGCAAATTCCATAACAGTAGAGGAATTTACTTAGTGTAAAGGCACACAGCATTGATGCCAAGTCTCCTGTAGTAAGGAACTGACTGGGTTAAGAAATCCTGAGGACATGGCTTCTTGATACAAGCCTGTTTACCTGTGCACTTGAAGTCTAACTAAATTTCTGTGGATACTTTCTCATTACAAGGGTGGAATATTGACATCACCCTGATGCTCTGGACTGACTTTAAGAGCTTTGTGCTGAAGGACTAAGTGGGTCTAATGCCCTGGTGAATTCATGTTTCATGCATCAGTGTGTCCTTCTTCAAGTTCCAAGGACCAGTGCAAATGGAGATAATGGCCCTGACCCCATAGTGCTCCTACTCCTGGATGGAATGGACTGTATTCCTCTGCATTCTTTCTTTAGTATCATACCACAAACATTGCAGTTAGAGGGCATCTAGACGATTTGGAAGCATGGCAGGGATAGTTTTGTCAGGAAATGCCAACCAAGGTAAATATTACACTATCAAAACAGTGTACTCTCATATCAAACCATCCTTGGAGGTTTTTTTATACTCTCCAGTGCAAATAGATGTCTTGCTCTATTTTCTAACATGAAGACATTTGTAAATTCATTCCTCCACTAAACAAACATTCATGGTGTGCTAATCCCGGAGGAATGATGATGGCAGTTTAAGAACAAAACCCATGATAATTTACAAAAGTGCTATGACACTTCAGTTCCTCGTGCAGGCACAGGGATATGGGAGATGTTGCGGGGATTTCTCTGATTCTTTGAGAAGATCCCCCGCTCCCAAGAGGAGCCAAACAGAACTGGCTAAGCGTCACTCTCCCTCCAAATAGACAGGTCTTTTGTGTGGAAAATTTTTTCCTTTGATTTTCAATATACACATTCAGAAAGTATGTGAAACATGAAAAAATGAACAAGTGTTTAGAAGCCAATGTCCCTGTAACCATCATGGCCATTAAAAAACACAATTATGTTCCCACCACTGAATCTGTCCTCAGAGCTCACCATCTGAATTTTAACTGAATAATGTTGATTTTTACAATAATATATGAATTTATATTATATACTTCTCCAGGGCTATGAATAAATCAACTGAGAAAGTGACTAGCTGCATAGTCACTTAATATTTCAAGCAATTATAATAAAGGAAGCATTAGTAAAGGAAAAAAAATGAAGGAAAACATCCTTGCATTGTATCAGTCCTCTGAAATGAAATGTTAGTCTCTGTAGTCATTTGTGTCTTGCTTTTTAGCTCAATAACATTTGTTTGTGATTTATGCAAGTTGCCACGCAATTTGGCTTGTTTGAACTTAGTACTACATGAATACATGGTGATTTACATATCTGCCCTCTTGTGGATAGCTGTTGGAGTTTTTTTCAATTTGGGAGTATTGCAAACAGTGCTATTTGGACCACTCCTGTGCACCTATGATACTGTATCGTTAGCGATGTTGTCAGGACGGGACGTGCTGAAGATGGTGGTGTGCATTTCATACACCTAGATAAGGCCAAACTACCCACCAAGGGGCTGTGAAGCTCACACCAAGACCAGCAGTCAAAGCTCTTTTTGCTCAACACTCTTTTCCACACTTGGAGTTTTTACTGATTTGTTTTACGTGACATTTTATTTCACTGCAATTTAAAATGACTTTTAGGTTTGCTAGAATTTGTATGTTTAATTGGGTATTTGATGGTGATTATTTGGTGTTCAGAGTTGAAAAACCTAGACATTAGATTTTTGTTAGGATGGAAGGTAAGGGTCTCCTAAATAATTCTATAATATAGTGAAAATAACTCACAAGATCTTACAGAAATGACCTCAAGTCTCATCCTTGAGAAAAGTGTGCAAATGATGCGTTTTGGAGAAAGAACAGGAAAATTCCTTATATCCCATAGATTAACCTACATTATAAAGTTATGGCAATTAACCCTGAAAGCCCCGAGTACAGATATCATTGCATGAGGTTATTCAAATTATGATAAATGATTTTCAAATCGGTATGAGAGGGCTGTGATTTTTATACAGAATTTCCAATTAATTGCTTAATAATCTAGCAAAAATAAAGTAAGATCCTTTTTAAACATGTGTTCAGTGAAAGTAGCATAGAATTGATATTAAATAAAAAATGAATATGATAATAAAGTACCAGGTAAACTTATCTAAGATCTGGAATAAGAAGATCTAGCTAAGAATAGCATCCATGACAGAAACCCTGACACTACACATGGGTTAGGCATGGGTCCCAGTCCTCCACATGAATATGAGTAGTTTGATCATATTAACGTGAAGTTCAGTGAAGCAAGGAGACTGCTGCATGTTTAAAATCTAATTCATTGAAAGTTCCAGGCCAGCCAGAGCAACATGGCAAGACTCTGCCTCAAAACCTGAATCTCAAAACTAACAAATCAAGGAGACAGAACTTGTGTACGGTACCACAATAAATACTACACACTGGGAGCTAAGATTTAATATCTCTGATACAAAAAGGTGGAAATTATTTATATAATCAACAAAAAGTACAAAGTAGGAAGAAAAACATACCCAATAAGAAGATGAGCAGATTCTACAAACAGGAAATATATAAAAGGCACAGGGATGGATTTCAACATTGCAATGTGACCCATTCCTACTGATCATTTGGGTAGGCTGTGGTCCTGATAACTGGGCACAGGTGAAGATGCAGGGAATTTCATGTGTTCTTCTCGTACAAGTAGAAATCAATGTGAACCTTCAGGGAGAGACATTGGCATGTGTGTCCTATAACCAGGGATTCTTTCTTACAGTGTTCATTTTAGCTAGCTAATAAGTAAAACTCATATATATGTATATATATATATATATATATTCACTGTGTGCAATGCATTTTGAAATATGGATGTAGCTATGAATTACAACACATATTTACTGGTTTTGACATTGTGTGTGTGTGTACGAATGTGCACATTCCATTCTGTGATGTGAATGGGAAGGTGAGAAGACAATTTGTAGGAACCACTTCTGTCTTCCTACTATGTGGGTTCCAGGGATCTAACTCAGGTCTTTAGGCGTGGTGGTAAGCAGCTTTACCTGCTGAGTCATCTTGTTGGCCCCTTAATGCTTTTTACATTGGCAAAAACCCAGTTACTCTCAGTGATCCCTAAGAGCAGATGACATTATTTTATGTTCGATTCATCACAAAGAAATAATGCAGCTGATGGGGATGATTCTGCTAACAAGATTTCTATTATAAAGTCATATTCCAAAATGGGAAAGAACCAAGTATTCAACAACAGAGGAAACTAGACATATCTTGTGGTGCACTCTGCTCTACAGCACATGATACAGATTTCTAGTCACTGACGTGGAAAAATGAACAGTGTTAGTTGCCAGGCAAGACTCAGGCTCTGTAGGCGGAGGGAAGAGGGTGCCATTTTCAGTAGAGGTATGTTAACTGACTTGAACCAAGGGCATCAGATAGCTTAGAGCAGTGGTTCTCAACCTTCCCAAAGCAGCGACCTTTTAATACAGTTCCTCATGTGGTGGTAGCCTTCAACCATTGCTACTGTTATGAATCATTAAATAAAAATCTGATACACAGGATATCTTATATATGACCTTCATGGAAGGGTCATTAGACTCCCCTCCCCAAAGAGGGTGGGACTCACAGGCTGAGAACTACTGGCTTAGACCATGCTCCTCGTCCTTCCCTGGACTGGTTTCCTTCCTATTCAGGTTGCTCACTTCTAAAGTGGAAACAGCAACAGTTATTGCTTTACAGAATTGTTTTCAGAGTGAGTGATCCAAGGCCTGCTCCCAGAATGTACCCAGCCTGCTAGCAAATGTCAGTCATTACATCATTACCACTGCCATTACCCCAAATGTTCCAGGCTAGATGTTTCTAGATTTGAATTTAATTTCATGCTCTGCCAATCACTTGTTCTGTGGTTATCATCATGTCATTTCCTCTCCGGGTTGGATTTTTTTAA